TTCTCAAAGTGCATGTGACAAAATTTGGTCAACATTCATTGTCCTGTCTATTAATGGTCTGTGCAAATTTCAGTTTTTCTACAGAAAACGCAATGACCTACAAATACATTTGGATATGGGACAATTGATTTAAATTACAAATAGCATACACTTGACACACATACAGACATCACAAGCTTGGAGACTAGTGAATTATGATCACATGATTATCACAATGCAAACAAAGAAAAATCATCCTTACCACTCTAGATTGTCAAAAAAATATTTGGTTTTAAAATAAATATTACACTCAAGGTTATCATACTTTCACATAAAAAGCCCCATTATTGTTGTATACATTAAACTGTAGATGCATTAATAATTTAGTAAGTCATTAAATACATAAATATACAGTATTTATATTTCATATATTATGCTTTGTCATGCACACAACTTCTTGTAGATACTGGTAAAAAAAAATTTCTTTAAGTGTTCTCATTATTAACCCTTCAAAGATAAACACTAAAGTATTCAGAGAAAAGAAAAGAAAATTACACAACTTTTTGAAGAGAGAAAAAATTCTCTGAGCAAATTATTAAATTCCTAAGAATCTATTTTCAGAGTTATGTCGCTCCGTGTAAATCTCCTTCCCCCGGCTCAGCAAACAAAGTTCTATTGTCCACTATGGTAGCTAAGTCGAGGACTACTTTGTATAGGGTGGGGTGCTCCAGGATTTCATCTGTTGGTAGCAGGGGTGAACAGGTGGGGTAGAAGTTTGGTCCCTGGTGTAATTAAAAACAAATCAACTTATTAATGATATATGTTTTTCCTTCACAAAATGTAAAATAACATATCTTATGACTCGGTACATTATAGTTTTTTTTTTTTTGAGACTGAGAAGGTTAAAACGATCTAAATTTTTTATTAGACATTCAAAATGTTTGGCCTCTTAGAGGTTTTAAATGATAAGATACAAATTAATATTTTTATCATCAGTTCTTACAAATCTTTTACCTTAAACCCTCTATGAAGTATCAGCACAATGTAGCAGAAGACAAATCGTAACATCAGCAACCTCAGGAAGTCATCACCGAAGAATTGGATATACATGTTATCTACAAAAATAAGGTAAAATTATTAAAGCCAATCATGAATAAAAAAAAATTTTTTTGGTATCTTAAAGATCAATATCTCAGATATTATGGAAGCGTTAAGGCGAGTTGGAAGTCAAAACTGCTTTTTCTCTACGTGTATCAGTCATAATACATGTACATGTATCTCAAATTCTTGGACAACTACATATATTTTTTCCTCTGACCCATCACTTTTGAAATAGCCAAATCTGTCCAAATCTGCTAACTGTTCTAAAAAATGCGGTGTGAGTTATCTTGACTTGTATACCCAATGAAAATTTAAAGTATTGTAACTGCATATAAGTACTAATCACAACAGAACACACCTAGTTTTTTAGATCTAGAAAAGAGTTTGGATGTTTCAGCCATGAACTTGTCTATGACCCCGGTGCATTTGTCCCAAAGGTCGACAGGAACTTCATAGATATTACAGACATAGCAGAATGCCATCAGAGGGTCATGTAGAAACATCGTGAAAAGGTTTCCTCTTCTGTGCTTGTCTAGAGGGAGGAAAATATGTGTAAATGTACAAACGCTGCATAAAATTGAACATAATTTCTATTTACAAATGTAAATCCTTTTAAACCTAATTCCTAGCTTCGCATAACAAACAATGTCTTAAACTTTGAATGTGAAATGTGCCAACTGACCTTGCATGGTTGGTGGTGCTCTTTCTGGAGACAGTAAACATACTACAGGCTGCCCAAACAAATTTGGAATATTCTGAAAAGGAAGCAATTCAAAGTTTACATCAATACATAGACATGTTATAGTAACTTGTATCCAACAATTTAAAAACACAACATCCTCATTTATTTAATTCAACATACAAAACGATAACACTGCCAACGAGTTCCATTTTACCTGGAATGAGGAACTGTTGTCGCTGTCAACAATCACAAATAAAGGCTTTCTTGTGTAGGGATAAAGATCTCCAGGATGTAAGCTAAAACAAGAGCATTGGTGTTTACATCTGATATGCCTGGCAATAGTTTTTGCACACAATTTGGCAATACTATTAATATATCTATTAGTGGTTTGGGTAGAAAATAGTCAAACTCACTAATCTTCTAATGACTAGGACCTACCAGTGCACTTCTTTGAGATGCCCCAGTTTTTTGGTTCGTATAATCTCCTCTCCATCTCTCCTAGCATTAGTGACCACACCCCCTAGGTCATAGGCAGCTGTGTAAAATTAAAAGACTTCAACAAAGACTCACATACACACCAAAATAATTTTCTTCTCTGATTGTAATTTAATTTTTTGGCTATGATGAAGGTAGAAAAAAAATAGCAAGTACTATAAACCAACAATTATCCACTTCATATTTTTTGGGCAATTCGTCAGTTTTTAATCAATCTGTGACAATTCATTTTTATGACTTACAAAATGTTCTTTACAGTTACAAAGCCAAATAAAACATTCTCAGCGATTAATATTCATGAGATAAAGTAAGTTGTGAAACTCGCAAATATTTCTCACATGTGAAAAAAAGTTGGTTTACAGTATTTCAATTTTTAAAACTTACGATCGTCTCCATGCTTCATGTTAGTCGGGCTGCCATCGGCTGAAATATACAGGAGTATTATACCGGTAGGTGGAAGTTCTTTGAACCCTGAGGCTAGGAATGTGTTCAGCTGGCTGTACGTGGGTTTGTACAGGAGGTACTTGTGGGGATTTTCTCGTCGATTGTTTCTCTCACCATTTTCCTGTATCAAAGCAAGATATTAAATTACTGATTATTTGTAGACTATCACATAATGGATTCCCAATTTCTGCAGGATTTTTGAAGTAAAAATTGCAAAATAGAAAACTACAAAATACAGATACTATTCATCACATAATTGCTGGTTCAAACTAAGTTTATATAAGGACAAACAACATCCAATTGTTGTGTGCTTGACTAACAAGTAACAATTTTTATAATGTACCTAACTTATGCCTTAACTTGAATTTACTCCTTAAGAAGGACAAAGCCTACATTTTATTTAGACAACACAACTGCATAGATTTTATCTCATTTTCAAAAGTTTGACTTGTATCATTTTTATAAATATATTTCACATGTCATTTTGAAGAACAAATTTCATTCATTTCCTGTAAACCTACTAAAAAATTATCATAATGCTGATTTTATTCTATTAATAATATCGTAATCTTAAACCAAAATGAAATCCCACAAAATAATTTCACATTAAGCATAAAAATTACTAAAGCTTCACATGTAAAAATTAAATTCTCAAAGAACTGAGCAAAATTGTTAGTGCATTAAGTTAATGTTACAACATCATCCTAAATTTGGTTAACATACAAAAAGCTATCACATGTCACATGTAGATCCAATTGATTTACCTCTTTTTTCATATATGATGGCAACAACTGGAATGAGATTTTATATTTTATTTCTTAAAATATAAAATTTGGAATTCTGATTGAACATATTTTTAATATTGTTTAATGGATGAATAGATTGAGCAGCAGGCATTGCCTATATATAAGCCTTCTCCAAATGTAGAACTCCAGGTTAAAAATTAGTTATTCTTTAAATATGTCATATCTTAAACAAATTACACCTTGCAATATACATGTAATCGTAATCGGTATCATTGCAGAAAAGGCCCAGAATGTTGTATAAGGACTTAATATGTTGTATGATGGCTTAGTATACTGTAAATCACTTTTTATTCACGAGAACTTTATTTTAGTGTGCTCGCGAAAATAAAATTCCCGTGTATAATAGTATTCCATAAGATTATATACAGCAATAACCACAATTCATGAAAATTTTGTCTCGCTAATCAAGAGTCGATGACTATCTCGCGAAAATAAGGCGTCGCGAAAATTTAGTAATCTACAGTATATTGTATAAAGGCATGCAGTAATACATGTAGTAACATACCAGTATTTCACCAGCAGAAATGGCATAATGTGCTGTATAGCTGCTCACAGTGTGCTGCATGATGGCATAGTATATACTTTGTAATAACTGTGTGTTGCATAAACCATGTTTTAACAGGTTGTATAGAAGCATTTGTGCATCCACAGATACACTGTGCATGAAGAAAATGTACATGTATACAGAAAAGTTTAAACTAGCCAAGTTCATTGTACTTACTCCAATTTTTTTTTTCTTTTACTGCACAATTCTTAACAATTTTTTGGATGAGTGGATAGTTTATAGAGCACTTCTCTGTCTGCTCTCCACTAATAAGCAAATACTGACAGTTGAAGCATATAAGTAAAAGTATTCTAAGGGCCAAATTAGGGCATTCAAAGTTGCCTTAATTACTTTTACAAGTAAACATACATATTCCTGAAGCTGAGATCAATGGGTTGCTGATTGGACTAAATTATGCACCGGGTACACATCTTCATACAAGCTGATACTTCATACCTGGATATGAAGACTCACACACTTACTTTAAACAGTGTGACAGATGTGGATTTCAGTATTATGTGCATGTATTACCTATGTATATAAAATATATGTACCTCAGCATGTATATTACTTACATATGGTGGTCTCCCAGGAGCAGGGGAGGCATCGTAAATTTGATTGGATAAATCTTCCTGGGGTTCTCTCTCCAAAGTCTGTAACATTCTAAACATGTCCAAGGTCAGTTCACTGTATTTCAGCTGCAAAAATAGAACACGAAATTTGCAACAGAAATTACTGTATGCTTACATCCATATTTGCTTAATAATTAAATAATTAAAGAAACATCACAAACTGTCTCAAAACAGTTGTATGCTTTAAGGTGCCAGTACCTGTATGGTATGTACTTGCAAGAAGGCATAGGTCAAAAAAGCTTATGCTGTTATCAACATTTTGAAGTACATTGTACATACTATTATACTAAACTGAACTCTCACAGAACTGGGTTAAAAGTTGACCAGCCTTAGTATAAATTTTTTACATTACCTGTTCTGAAGAGTTCCCCACTATCAGGATTTCCTGGAGTCTGAGTATAGCTGGGGTGCCCTTCTCTAGGGGAGGAGTATTTAGGGGGGTCAGTCTATGAGACAGAACAATGGGGGTACCGTCATGGTCCAAAACCCTCACTGTGCAGTCAGCCTTCAAAATAACCCAAGTTTAAATTACAACATTCAGTATCAGGCCTGGGGGCCATAAAACTCAGACAAGCTCACTTTTGATCTCAGTCTCACTTATCCACTATTTATTCCTTTGGAAAAAGTGACTGAGATAAAAAATGAGCTCGTCTAAGTCTCATGGCTCCCAATCCTGAGCTACGTGTATCTCAGTTCGAGACAAGAACATGGCTGATTTATTACATAAATAATCTGTGTTGAAAAAATCAAAATTAGATTTCTGGCATTGAACCTACGTCTTCAAACTCTCTGATTTCTGAGAGGACAGTTTTCCATTCATTCTGGTCCTCTGGCTGGTAGGTGGAAGTGTAATCATCTATCTGCTTACCAAGGTCCTACAACACATAAACATTAAAATTACTACAGTTAAAAAAGTCCCCCAAATGAACTTATAACACACCAACCATTAACTGTCTAGCTGACTTACTCTCTCTAGGTCTTTTACAAGCTTCATTTTCTTCAGCAATAAACAAACTAAAATGAACCTTGCATAAAAACGCAGCTTCTTGACCATCAGATCAGGCCTGTAATAAAATAAAATCACATCTGTCAGAATAAATTCACTTCATAATAATATCTTGCTTGCAGGCTATTTCATTTCTTCATTTCCCTTATAGATTACCCCCACCCCTCTCTTTCAATCCAAAGTCAAGAATTCTTTAAAAATGTGCCTGCATGTATATTTATTCAACTGATAATTAAGATTTTTTAAAAATTAGTTTACCTCTCCTCTTTGCTAGCCCTCGAGTAATACCCTCTCTGACGAATAGCTGAGTAGAAGTTGAAGGATTCATTCAGGTAATTAGTTTCACTGGTTCTCAAGCTACAAAACAAATCAAATGTTACTGAAGTAAGTCAAGTAACTGAACTGTGGCATTTCTTACAAATCTTCGTTACAATGACATTTCACAATGGTTTACATAAACTTTCTCAGTGCATGGACAATATTCTTTCTTTTTTATACTACAATTTGCATTTCTAAATGATTTATTATATCATGCATTGAAACGGCAAATTTCAGCAGTCTATGTATTAACTAATGCTGTTCAAACTGCTAAATAAAGAATATGGAGTACTTTTTCCAGTGGTCTGAATGACTGATTAGATAGATATATAAATTAAATTAGATAACTTATGTCTTTCATTCTACATAATGAAGTTTGCAATGATCTAGATATCTAAAATTCTAGCTTAGTTTGTTGTTAATTAATGTAGAGGTGTGTGAGTGTGCAGTTTCTCTCACAAAAACCTATGATCCTCAATGATTGAAATTGATATGAACAACTTAAATTAATGTACTTTCTCTTCTAAATGCTAAATGGTAAAACCACACTTTGAAATGACCAAAAGCCTGATGTAAACATATTCCCATTTGGGTTGTTAAGCATGTGTTTGAAATTATTCTGCATGTCGCAGTTGAACACTACTGATTACTTTCATTCAACATAAATAATTCAATATATTCTTTGATTTCAACTCTGAGGAAAATGATAGAGCTTATATACACAAAATAAACCAATAAATCATCCTAATGCCACACAAATATTATTAAAAAGGGATCTGTTACAAGCAATCTGCAGAATGTAGGTACATTGACATGTACGGTAGATGGGCAGAATCTATTAGACAACAATTTATTGAAAAGCTTCCACAGGCAAAGACAGGATTTAGACTTTCTGAGATGCATTTAACTTTGGGAAATACAATTTAGACTGACAGACATCTATTATGAAGTGTTTTTTTTTTCAAAGAGGTGTATAATATTTGAACTGTAGATACTGACTGACAAATACAACCTGCACTGCTAAGCTTAATAAAATGCTTATATCTAAGTTATATTTTGCACACAGTACCTAACTCTGAATTAATATTTGTTTCCTCATCATGAGTAGAATTGAGGATGGGTAAGTAACAAGAGGCCCAGGGGCCACAGCACTCACCTGAGCACATCAGCTAGAAAAAAACACATATCAGATCAGAACTTGAAAGTTAACTCAAGTAGAGGTGTGGGGGGGGGTTTCTCTCACAAAAACCCCCAAGGGGATCATAATTTGAACGAACTAGAATCTACATTACCTGAGGATGATTCCATACAAATATAACTAATCCTGGCTTTGAAGTACTTGAAAAGAAGATTTAAAAAGGTTTCCCTACATATTTCTATGTAAAACTTTGATCGGCCATTTTGGCCCCGCCCTACGCCCGGGGGTCATGACTTGAACAAACTTGAATCTACACTACCTGAGGATGATTCCATATGAGTTTCATCTTTCCTGGCCCAGTGGTTCTTGAGAAGAAGATTTTTTAAAAATGCCAATAATTTTTCTCTAATTCATGAGTATCTCCCCTTGGAAAAGGGCGTGGCCCTTCAATTGAACAAACTTGAATCCCCTTCACCCAAGTATACTTTGTGCCAAGTTTGGTTGAATTTGGCCCTGTGGTTCTTTATAATAATATTAAATTGTTAAAAGTTTACGACAACGACAACGCCAATGACAACAACGACAACGACAGACAACGGACAAATTTTGATCAGAAAAGCTCACTTGAGCCTTCGGCTCAGGTGAGCTAAAAATACATCTGATTTGAAAATTGTAGACTTGCAATCATTTTATCATTACATCCCTAAAAGCAAGCATGGCATTTAATAATACAGCCTAGTGATACCAGAATTAATTGTAATATTGACTATATCACTGAGCTACTAGTGAATATTGATTTACTGTACATGTATTAGAGTAAATACCCTTAATCAACACAAATATAGGACTCACACACAAGCATTCCATAAATTCCCTTGATACTTCGTAAAAGGTTGCAAAATTTCTATATATCTGAATAGTTTTTGTTGAACCCCTCTCGGATCGATAGATTAAAAGTGAAATTTCTGTTTTCATTACACAATATCAAATGATAATAAAAATATATGTACCAATCCATCATGATAAGCATAAGATTTGAAAGTCAATATGTTACACATAAAATACACAGAAATATTACGAAGCTCTCTTGGGAGCACCTCATAGATGCCTCTTTGTAACTGTGTAAGTGTGTAAAATACTTTTGCTGGACACTTAAGTTTACTTACTAGTAATGGTAGTAGAGTTGACCTATTTTGGATGCTACTTCTCCTATCTGCCATCTCTTTAAGCCATATTTGGTATCCAAAATTTGTCTGCAATTAGATTGTACAAAACCATTGCAATCATTATTTGAAAAGAAACACTAACTTTTTTTCTAAAAGGATATATTTATGTCCCCAGATCGAAAGACCCTGGGGTATGTTATTTTTGTCCTATCTGTCTATTTGTCTGTCTGTTGTCAACTTTAACCTAACCAATAACTATTGCGCTGTCAAGGGTAAGGCTTTAATATTTGACATGAGTGTTCATTATGACAAGGCCTTTCCATTGGTACAGAAATTTTTCATCATGTCACCTCAAATGTGACCTTTGACCTACATTTGAAAAACTCCAGAATTGTGTTACAATCAGGAACATAAGTGTTTCAAAAACACATCTTTTTTTAAAGTGTTTGACAACTAATGGTAAAAGTAAAGATGGCAATAATTTTGTTTTCACACTTATGGACACCTCTGTTTTGGTTTTCAGTTGCCCAACACTGATTTTACTAGTACTGGTTTGTACCTTTGACAAGAGATGGTTGAGGAAAAAAAGCATTAAATGAACCCCCAGTCTAATAAAATGCTATATCCTCCCTGGATTCAACATTGAACAACTTACTTCTTTTTTTATAAAGTCTGCAACCATAGAGGCTTGAACATTATAGCTTTCCCCACATATAAATTTTGATTGAATGAAGCATAAAAAAGGTAACTTGTCAAGAGAAAATAAGAGCTGTGTATAAAACACTTATGCCCCCTCCCTCAAATAACTGGAATTATTCTAAGTCCAAGAGGCATAACTCTGTCTTTAATGATAAATCTGTATACCAAATTTCATTTCAAGATGTGAAACCTCTGGGAAGAAAATGAACGGAAACTGCAAATTATTGAAATTTTTCTAAGTCCAAGGGGCATAACTCTGACTAACATGATCCGATCGTACCCAAAACAAAATTTAATCTAGATATTCTTAAATTGAATCTGTATACCAAATTCCATAACAATATGTGCAACCTCTGCGAAGAAAATGAATGAAACTAATGGTGGTAAGACACACAGACCGACCGACAGACAGCAGCAAAACAATATGTCCTCCCTTCTTTGAAAGGGGGGGGGGGGATAAAAATCAATGCACTGTGATTAAAAATTCATGCATGACCTTGACATAAGTTGACTGTCATAACATGCAACAGGGATTGACATTAACGGTTGTCCGATTGCCCGGAACAAGTAAATTCTCAGTTCGGGCAAGTGAAACTATCAATGTACTTGTCCGATCGGGCAAGTGGATATTTCTGACAGAAACATTTTTTTTAATCTCACATAAGTTTATAAACAACACAATAAATCAAACACTTGATTTCCGCCAAAAACGGGACATTGTTATTGCATTCGGAATCCCTCGGTAGCGTTTCTGGATCTTACCTTTATTCAGAAATCGGGTTCGTTATTCTGTTTTCTTTTGTAGTTTAAAAAAATACAATTATCTGTCTGACAACTTACATTACAGTCTTATTATGAAAGAGAGATTACAGAATACTTTCTCTAACCAATTAAGGAATTATATGAAGAACACCAATTATTCACGGTGCATGATGTATTCTTCCTTCTGGCTTCACCTCAATTTTTTATAGGAAAAATTAGAATTTCAAACAAAAATCGTAAGAAAATAATATTCCTGCATACTCTGTGTTTTCAGGATAGTTACATGTAAATGACAGGAAAGTGTTTTATATACATGTACATTTACAAAATTAATATAGCATCACCATCATATCAACATTTTTTTCTGGCAGTAATAACTTCAAAACAGAGATTAATTTGTCAACTTTTATAATTACAACAAATTAAAGTACAATAACTGTTTTTTTTTTTCTTAAAAATTTTGGGCAACCAAATTTTGCATTCGGACAAGTCAAAATTGTAGTTCACTTGCCCGAAGGACAAGTGGAAATAAAAGTTAATGTCTACCCCTGTGCAAGTACGTATTGAACTTACTCCTTTCATTGATGAATATGAAATAACTCTCTAACATAATATTAGTTTAAGACTGATGTCAAAGTAGTGGATAGTACTGATTACCTATGTTGCTGCTGAAATTTCCAGAGCTTTGTGTAAACATCAAAAGTTCTGCCAAAATAGGACTGCCACTGTTTGTGTCCATACTGAGGGAGGTCCCTGCAGAAAAAATAAGTTTTTGTTACAAACAAAAATATCCAAGATTATAGAGGTCACCTTGACAGGGGATTGATATCAGTTGCCTCATTGCTCAGGGCAAGTAAATTCTCAGTTCAGGCAAGTAAAACTACTGTACACATAGTAAATTTAGCGATGTATTCTATTTAACGATTTTGGTGGAAAGCAGAGTCTGCTAAATCAAGTACAAAGCTAAATGTCCAGTTTATCATACACTTTAATTAAATATTTCTAGTACGTGTACGTTCAGATAGTGCTAAATCAAACCTATGCTAACCTGTTAAAAAAATATTTTATGTCAAATATAGTATAGCCAAATATAATACATTTACAGTTTATATTCAATGTATTTGTTTGTTTGGCAAGTCAATATTTATGAAAGAAACACACTTACTAGTTTGTAAAGGAAATATCTTAAACATTTGATTTCTACCAGGACTGTGATAAAGTCTTTCTCTGTAGCTTTTATAGAGAGGTAATTCCATATCAACATTCATTCAACATGTTCAATGATCAAAATTGTAAGAAATAAATTCTGCTTTTTTTTCAGTTAAACCAAAATACCCTCTCAATCCAGGGATTTTCCATATCGAACTGGGATCCCAGGCCCTTGGAATTGGGATTTTATGGCTATTTATAAAAAAAATGAGAGTTTTTTATAGGCTACTGTAAGTCTAAATTTCAAGAAGTGAGTCAGAATAAAGTTTATTACCAAAACAAAAAGATTCTGTTCTTTTTAGTGATAAAAGTTATCATTTACTTACAGTTTGCAATGGATCTATTCCAGGACTTGTATTGGTTATACCGTTAAATTTTAAATGTAAATTATTAAGGAGAAAATTACGTGGAAAAAATGGAGGGTTTTGAAATTTGGAATTGGATCTAAATTCAGCCTAAGAGGGGGAAGTGGAAAGTCCCTGCAATTTGATGATATTTCTGAACATTCTTAAATAAAATAACTATAATCATGAAAATTTAGTAGTTTATTGTTCTGAAATGAGCTTGAAATAATGAAAAGAACAGGGTTTGACATTAAGCTTTTGGAATACTAGACCACTTGGGCTACTCTGGCAAATTTTTAATAGCCCTGAACCTTTAACCACTAGCCCTGACCAAACTTGAGAAAAAATATTTAAAGCACGAAATAACTCTTTTTTATAATCTGTTTAATTGTATTGGTTTATCTTTACCAATGTAAATAATATTTTAATAACAAAATTTTCCCGGACACGTCAACCTCGAAACTAGGTCATATACATGCGGCTTGTCGTGTTTAGTCCTAACTTAACTTAATCAACTTGTATACAATATTATTAATATGAAATCATTAAAATTGTTCAGAGAATTTAATTATAGTAAAATTAATGTTATTAACATATAATTTTATTGCCATTTACACGGTTTACTAATGTCGTAAACGTGAATCTTTCAATCAGCAATCCTAGGATGACTCCACTTTGCTCCATTCAAACCTCCGATGTGATAGGTGGAGGGATACGCAACAGGTCGATAAATTTCTCTGCTGGAAACAGCCTTGTCACTCATTTCATATTTCGCCCTGCCTCAAGTTCCTCGAAAAGGTTTCTTTTAAATATTTGTCTAATTTTTCTTTGTATTTTGCTCCATATGTTAAGTAGTCTTTGAAAGCAAGAACATAGTGCTGGGCATGCCTAACTCGTATTTCGAAAGTATAACATTTGAATGAAATTCAAATAAAATCACATGACTGAAACAGCAAGATGGTAGAACACCTTTGACGTCCGAGGGTAGTGTGTGAGGAACAAGCCATCTGAGGAGCTCCGAGTGTGTATCTTTCGACAATGACAATCGTAAATACTCAGCCATTTCCACAATCCATAAATAGCTTATTGTTTCTCTTTAGGAAAATGGCTGAGTAGTAACAAATGCCCACAATGACTGCTGTTATTAATACTATATGAATAATAGTGCTTCAGTTATGCTGTCTGTACTCTGTATGTATTTTTCTTCCTACTACGCAGTTAGAAACATTTTGATTTTATCTTTCATTGAAAATAAATTTGTTTTAAAATATATAATAAGTTTCTTTATTTTCTTACACCACCAGTCGGTCTAGTACATAGGCATTTTACCTGACCTGACCCATGTTTTACTAGACAGTGAGTAGACTTAGTGCCTTAATGTCAAACCCTAAAAGAAATAAGGTCAGAATTCTTGTATAAATGCTGAACAATGAGAAATAATCAGGACTGTAATACTTTCAATGTTCTCACTCATTGAAATATCTATTTTGAGTACTTTTACAATTGCCTCCAAAATAGATTCATCTTCAAAATATTGTCTCATTTGAAAAGAAAGATGCATTTATGAGGGATTAAATTTGAAGCCAAAGTCCAGATTATGACTGGAATTCAGACTCCAAACTTTAGGGGGTTCAAGTTGAAAAGGTTAAAGGTCAGTTGAATAACAAGTTTATGGAACCAATAAACTCATTAAAGCTATTTACTGGGAGTGCCTCTATATTAAGTGCCTGTCTCAGAGAAAACCATGCAAAATGGTCCAGAGGCAAGTTTCTCTGATAGCCTTCAAACTTTGTGAGCCAAATCTACCATGCATGAATGAAACTCAAACAAATTTTTATCGGGCTGATCAAACTCATATAAGTTTTATGGCCTGTTACTAAAAATAGCTCATATGCAACAAAATTAGAGGTAATTTTTTAAACATTTTAGTCATATTTTGAGGAGAAATAAAATTGCAATTTTACAAGCTAATTAGATATTCTTTTTTGTAGTAAAAGGATGAAGGTTAGTTCTTCACAAATGCATAGTCAAAATGATTTACATCCATTTTGTTTTAGTGCAAAAAGGTCATGAAATTGGCACTTTTCCAATTTTTGGAAAAAGTGACAATTTTAGGTAGAATTGATATTGCTGTAACAACCAGTGAGGGTATTTGAATCCAATAAATGTTGTTGCTTATTGTTAAGGATGCTTATGTTAACAAAATGTGAAAAAACTGTCGTTGGCAAATATATATTTTAGAAAATATTGAAAGTCAAAGTTTGTTAAATTTTCAAATCAAAAATTTTAAGAATACAGTAAACTTCTCCAAAAATGAAAAAAAAAAATTCTGGATTTTTTTTTATCAGTATTTCAGAATTTAGACACACATAGCCACAATTCAATAAATAATGACTGAATCCCAAAAAAAAAACATCATGTAAAGGGAGGGGGGATTTATGAATTCCTTATAAACCATTACATGGATAATGTAAAAGCCTTAAATTTAATTACCTTTTATACACATTTGCTAGATAGTTACAAAAGTGAACACATCATTCATCATACTAGTCATTCGATCAACATATTCATTTGAGTTTTAAGGGGACGACCATTTGATTCTGGGGGGGGGGGGGGGGGCTGGCAGATTTTAGAAATAAATAATCTGTCCTTGACAATGTTGAAAAATAAATAATCTGTCCTCCACTGCAAAGAAAATAAATAATCTGACATTGACTGATGATATTCAAATATTGTGAGAAATACCTTTTTTATTTCAGTGTAATTTAACCTCGCCATCTTCAATTCACCTATTTCTTTTGGCTCGCTTCGCTCGCCATTTTAGAACCAAATAATATTAATAAAATGAGATAAAAAAAACATCCTTGTGCACGTAACACAATGGCCAAATGCATCAATCCAATTAGCAATCTTTTTATATAAATGTGAGAAGAAAGAAGATGAATGTATGACCATGATGACCACTACCACAAGCATCATTGATAAGACAATACTTGCGGTACAGACTGGATACTAGTAGTCAGTTAACCTACACGACAATGTGCACTCAGTTGGTGTGATGAATCACTTAAATACAAGCCAATTCTTATGCACGGCAAAAATTAATTTTCTTGTAAAGAAATTATACCTACACTGTAACAATGTTAATATAGCCCAATTTTTTTTTATTTTTTAAGAATCACTGACGAATTAAAGGGGGACGTAGGGGGGGGGGGGCGCATGCCCCCCCCCTCCCCCTTAAAATTGTCAAAGTATGATAATAATGATATTAATAATGCCATACTTTGGTACAATACCACTATTTTTGTGCCTAGTTTTACTCTTAAAATACACGAAAACCCAGGAGTTTCCGGGGGCTTTGCCCCCTGGACCCCCTTCAATCAAATAAATATGACATCACTAGCATTAATAATGTCATACTTTGGTACATAACTAACAAATACCACTACTTTTGTGCCTAGTTTTACTCTTAGAATACACAAAACACCAGTAGCTTTCGGGGGCTTCGTCCCCTGGGCCCCCACAAAGGGCTTCGTCCTGGACCCACTAGGGTCCTTTTGGCGGTCCCAAGACCCCCTGTCTATACAGTTATCCATCCCCCACCCCCCAATCACAAATCCTGTATCCGTCATGATAATCACTTGAAGGTATCAATTTATCAAGGTACCTTAAGACAAAGAAGAAAATAAATAATCTGTCCTTGATACTCTTGAAAATAAATTATCTTCCCTTGACTGGCATGAAAATAAATAATTTGTCTCAACAAAATTTGCCAACCCCCCCCCCCCCCCTTCAGAATCAAATTGTCATCCCTTAAGAGGAACAATTTCTACAAATTTCAAATTTCATCGATACAAACATTGAGATATATTTCAGACAACTGCTTTTTTTATGGAGGAGGTGCAATGACTTGATTTTTTTTTGACGAATGAAACAATACGTACACTCTCTTCTTTGTGAGCTATTCAACTCAACTTGAATTCGTCTACAATTAAACACAATCTGGACAATTTACTGTTCTCTCACATTCTTCCAGGGACGTAGCAACAAGGGTGGGGGGGGGGCACGAAATAGGATTTTCGACTTTGATGAATATAATTTTCGATTTTTTTTCCCTTGTCAACTTTTTCAGGTAAGTGAAAAAAATTTCTCTGGTTAGCCCCCCTACTTTCAAAAACGATGCTAAGTGCCTGTCTTCATACTTTGAAATGAAATATTATTGTAAATTTCAAGGGCAAAGGTATTTACATGTATCATAATTAATTGTCCCCCGCTTAAGGTCATACGCAACATAGTTTGAACATTATTAGGTTCTTCCCTGGAGTTGAAGAGTTCCACTAAATGAAGGACCTGTGTGCAATGCTTTACATGTCTACATACAAATTTATACACCTCTTCTAAAACAAATTTGATGGGAAAAAAATCTAGAATTTATATTTTGTAATTTTTGTATATTTTTCTTTGAATAAAGCTAAAATTTTCATAATTTGATATCTTCCCAAAAACCCTGGTAATGCATGTTGATTTTTTGCCTGTGAACATCTGATGTCAATATAATCTTTAATTAAGAATATCTTGAAAAGTTATCAGTAGATAAATTACGTTGCGAATGTCCTTAAAAAGTGGAGGATATTAATTTGGGTCTGTCTGTCTGTCCGTCTAGCTGTCTGTCTGTCTGTAACGCCTTTGTTTCCACACAATATCTCGAGAACCCTTTTAACTTTTTACAATTAAATTTTACAGAACAACTCCCTGTGGCCGAAGCAATTACCCTATTGATTTTGAAGTCAAACGTTCGAAGTTCATGGTTGTAAATTTATACATATTGTCTGTGTGTAACACTATCCTTTTCGGGCGATATTTCAAGAAGATTTTGAGCTTTTGCAAAACTCCCTAGGACCTCTCTCACCCTTCTCAAAGTCCCCCCCCCCCCCGTTTGTTTTATTAGTATTTATTGTATTACATGTCGCTATTTTCAGCAGAGGGGCATGAGGAGACTTATAACGTATAAAACAGGTTCTCGGCGAGTTTTATATTCTTATTACATCTATTAGAACTGTTTATTAAAAGTTAAATTAGACACCATGCATTGTATAAAATTATGACAATTATCGAATGTGAATATAAACATGTATGTGACTTCATCTTTGCATATAATTATCGCCAGGTAAAAGCGGTTCCAATGTGTAGTGATACGTTTCTCGCTTCTCATGTGAGAGGTCCCGGGTTCGAATCCCGGACGATCCATTTTTTTCCGATTTTTTTTATTTTTTACTAAATGATAGTTTTCAGCATGTAAAATGAAAAATTTATGAGGTATGGCTTGTACAAACTCATAAAATCATCATTACAGTGTGATAATTATTCCACATAAAAAGAATCTTCTATACACATAAAAAGAATAAGCAATCAAATCTTTATAAATATCCATATTGGCATATTTTATTTGCTTCAGTATACATTATATACTAATCCGAGATTTCCCGCACAAGTCACAGGCGCGTAGCATCGTTTTTGAAAGGGGGGGGGGGGGCAGCCAGAGAAATTTTTTTTACTTACCTGAAAAAGTTGACAAGCAAAAAAAAAAGGAAAAAGTTTGCCCGAAGTCGAAAAAATCCATACTACATTTGCAGTTCATTGTTTAGAATCAGAGGAATCTCGGATTACATGTATACATTTGATAATTCTACAAATTCAGTTAAGGGGATCCATCTCATTTGCAGTTCATCATTAAAAGTGAGGGGGCCAACCACGCTTTCAATTGACATTTCCTATAGTATGAGTAAGGTTGGGAAAAAAAGTGGGGGGGGGGGGGGGCAGGGCCCCCCCCCCGTTGCTACGCCCTTGAGTCATAATATAAAAGCGGGGTTTAGAATCAGAGGAATCTCGGATTACATGTATACATTTGATAATTCTACAAATTCAGTTAAGGGGATCCGTCTCCCCACCCCCTCCCCTCGAACTGCGCATTGTTTACATTTGCCCTTACGGAAGACATATAAATTCTCTGAATTAGCTTGTTTCAACTTTACGGTGTCCCAGGCTTGACAAAAAAGACTTAATACACTCTGAGAACTTCAAACATGCTAGACGTTTTTCAGTGCTTCTGTCACAATCAACTACACGAGATATTCCTCTGTTTCATGACACGGAATCTAGGAAAATTTATAAAAATCACATTCTTGTGAATTTTTACTCATTTTGTTTGCATTAAATTGTGAGTTTTTCCATAGAAAGTTGACTGCTTTTATGTGTCATTATTAATTTCCCCAAAGACATTTTACAGTGCAATTATTTACCTTTAAAAAAGGAGAGTTGCGCAAGGGGACCTAACTCTGACTAGGCAAATGCAAAAAAAATCTAACTATTAATATTAGAATTAAAGGCATTTAAATGAAAAAAGATTTCTTTTCTATTAATGAACAATTTCTAAAAATTTAGTATGTCATGAAAATACCATTTAATCATTTATGTAACATTTTTTAGCATAAAATGGCATGTTTTAATTTAAGATTAATATTGAAAAATTCACCCGTAATTGGAATTTTTTTCTGTGGTGCAGAGTTGTTTGCCAACGACAATTTTTTAATATGTTTTTCTTCTATATTGAATAAATTGAAAACAGTATAATTCAAATAAAAAAATCATCCTCGCTTCAAGATACGATTAACCAAACTTTGAAAAAAAAGCCTTGATTGCTAAAATCTAGATTCTTTGTATATTCCCTGATATAATGTGGCTAAATACAAAATATATATGTAAATTTTTTTTAATGAATATAATTAACTACTATTGCACTTTCATAACATATGCAACATTGAAATAAAAATTATAGCAAATATGTTTAAAAGACGCACTTAAAATGCATCATTTTCAATGAATGTCAATGCTCGTTTTACACTTTTTTATAGGAAAACAAATAATCCCCGTTACTAAAAATAGAAACAACTTACGACAAAATGTAAATCATATTTTAGGTCATTTGGACCAAATCTTTATTTGTATGGGTCACTTTTCAATTTACTACGATAATGCATCTGGACAATTTTTTTCAATTTGCATGGTTTTCTCTGAGACAGGCACTTAATCTAATTAATAAGTAAAACTATTTTCTTTCCTGTATTGTCCTTAAAGAATAAATACGAATATTGACGTTATTACTTGTGAAAGAAAACATAAAGTTTCAAATGCAACTCATACAATTTGACAATTTAATTTCACTATTTAAAAAACCAAAAAGACAGAGAGAATTCGAGTTCAATATGGGAAATCTAGCTGCAGGTCATTATCATAATTTATTTGCATTAAATTTCCAGAGAACTAGTTACAAATGTACAAACCTTAACCCATTGAATAATTGCTTTGATTTTTCCAGTAGATGACAGAATTCATTCACAATTTTCTTTTCGTTTTCATCCAAAACTGGAAGGCTCACATCACTTGTCGACATTTTGTTGTGGTAGCATCGCCAGCACTCTCCAATCCAAAAAGAAAGTAAACGATGTACGAAAAAGAACAACACAGCGTTATACAAGAACTCAACATTTGATTAAAGATAAAATAAATATAATTTAATATTTCTAAACCCCTGACTATTTAATTTTGGACTAACGAAAATTGTGAAATGAAAGTCGATTTTATTTGGAGAGTATATAAATCCAGGTTATTTGTGCGCTTGAATGAAAACGAGCATGGTTTTAGTCTCGTTCAACCAGACCCTCGGCTGTCTCCGTAAATCTCCGACCACCCAGAGGGTCTGGTAAAGATACGTAATATCGTTTGTAACGCCAAAACGAGGCTTACCAAAATTCTGGTAAAGTTTTTGATTGGCTGAAAAGAACACACCTCCATAATTTAAACAAATACATGGTAAATCGACAGAAAAATAACTTAAAGTATTAAAAGTTAAATGTCTAAAGGTTAAAGCAGAAAAAGAGGAATAATTTTATTGTTTACGGTAATGTCAACGGGTTAAAGGTAAGTGTGCTTTATAAAATGTCTTGCATTTTTTTTTTATTTCCGGAAGTTAAAGTGAAAGTAGTGCAGCTACCTGCGGAATACATGTTTCTTCGATTGATGTTGTAATTACTCGTTTTATGTCCAAAATTAAAGATCAGTTTATCAATATAAACTCACAATCTAACAGAAGAAACATGTTAAAGATTCGTTTCAAAAAAAGGTCATCAAAACATAAACAAGATAGCGCCCTCTGACGGTAACAAACGCTTATGTGACTCTTTACCAGACTCTCTGCTGGTCGGAGTTTACGGAGACAGCCGAGCGTCTGGTTGAACGAGACTAGCATGGTTTGCAAGTTCGCAATGGATTGTAATTTATTTCCTAAAATGTTCAACAGATTTATTGTACAGAAGAAAGAACCCTGATGAACACAGAAACCGAGGAAAAAAGCCCAAATCATATTCATGCCGGTAATTTATCATTTTTTTTAAATCAGAGACCAAAAAAAAAAAAAAAAAGGGCATGTGCACATGTTTAAAAATTGAACTGTTAAAGTATTTTTGAGCTGGTGGTAAATTATATCCAATTGTCAATTATCCAGAAAGACTGTTTTTTAAAAAGTATTTTATGTAAAGTAGTTCCTGGGCAGAGAATATATTGTAGATGGATATCGTATATGAAGTTTATTTTACATTGATGGGACAGGATTTTCTGAGAATTTCTTGAGTGCAAAGCATTATAATCCAAGATTCCTCTAAATCTTACCCCTGCTTTTTATATTGGGACATGTACAGGGGAGAGTCAGAGTGGAGGCCATATTGAAAAGTGGGAATTCAACGACACTTGAGCTGGTGTCGCGACTCTGCCTACCTTTTACAACTTTATTTTGCGGATCTAACTTCCAAGAGGCCTAGAAAAAAAATATGTTTGTTTCCGCTTTCCCGACCAACCCTAATTTATAGTGCCGACCCCCAAATTTTTTTAATGCTTTTGTCAATTGAAGTGCAAGATTTCAACCAGGGAATTCACCGTATACAACGGGTAACGCGGGGGAGTCGCTAAAAAGTATGGGGGAGTCGTTTTCAACGTATGGGGGAGTCGATTTTCACCGCTTCGGAGTCAGAAGTGATGTGGGTCACGTCTTTTTTCGGTATATGTAAGATGTATTTACAAAAAACAACTAGCCCACGGAAGGTAGCAATAGTTAAGCTTTCTGTTGGTCATTTGTCCGGCTAGCATATACGTCTAGTTTTCTCAAACACTTCGAAACTATTCGACAGATTTCATATTTACGTTGATCGAGTGGTTAAAACATGCATAGTTTGCACAATCTACGACTTGTTTAGGGATTATAACAGTTAAAACAGCAAAAGCAAACGTTAATCTTTCAAATGCAACAATTGAAATTTGGCTAGACTTTATAAAAATTAATAATTAAGACATTTTCTGTTCAGAAAGTAATGGTTACGTAGGGGGGAGTCGTTTCTGGAAAAACACAACGCATAGGGGAGTCGCAAAATTGAATTGTACTATTATTTTAAATTTGTTTTCTTTTGCTAAATGCTTCCATACATAACTATTTTGATAACTTTATAATTTTAGTAAAATGCAATTTGAATAAAGATCAATATAAGCAATATGTACATGTAAAAATAAAAACATGTAATTATCTTTTCTTATTGTTAAGTGTATGAGTATTTACCAGTACCTCATATACATTACTACATGTACATTTGATATGGTTTCTGCACGGATGAGCATGAAGTGGCATATTCCAAAATTTACAGCATTTTAAATTAAATACCGTTAGGCAGTTAATGTCTGTACGTCCGTCCGTCTGTCTGTTAAGCTTTGGGATACCCATCTCTTATCCGCAACTCCCCTTATACCACTGAGTGAAATTTAATGAAACTTTCACAGAAACTTTACTACATATTGCCATTGTGCATTGTGGCGGATTTAAGGGGGCGCACCCGGCGTGTCAAAATAAAATTGTCAAAGTTAGCGTAAATCATAGTTTAGTCTAGTAAATGTAAAAATTGTCTACTCCGTAGACTTCATTTTTACCCTACAAAATCTCTAGAATCCAGGAGCTTCCGGGGGCTTCGCCCCCTGGGTCCCCAGCTAACTTCATTTCCTGTATCAGCCCCTAGTGACCTCCTATTTTACTTTTTGATCCGACACATATTTTGGGTTTCCCGGCCACAGCAAAACATGGACTTTGCCATTATGGCATGGGAGCCGGGGGTATCATTTAGTGAGCTCATTCCTCACAGTACCTCTACCCAGATAGCAAGCTTATGTTGGCCCAATGTTGGGCCACTGTTGTAAGTTACGTTGGTCCAATGTCGGAAAATGATGTTGGGCCAATGTAATTTTGCTCATCGGCGCAACGTTGCGCCGACATGTTGGCGCAACGTTGGCCCAATGTCATAGAACGATAATTCTGACGTTGGTCCACTGTTGTCAGTTATGTTGGCCCAATGTCGGAAAATTTATATTGGGCCAATGTAATTTTGCTCATCGGCGCAACGTTGCACCGACATGTTGGCGCTATGTTGGCCCAATGTCACACAAAATTTACAATTCTGATGTTGGCCCAATGTAGGCCCAACGTATTTGTGCATCTACATGTAGGCGTTACATTGGCCCAATGTCAAACAATGATAATTCTTATGTTGGCCCAATGTTGTCCCAACATATTTGTGCACAAGGATATTTAGAAATCTATGGAATTCCATGGAAATATAAGAAATTCCAGGAATATACAATGAAAACTGAAATAATGATAACATCACAATTTATCATAGATAAAATCTATATTTCAAAATTAAAAAATCGTTTCTTTTACAATGTGTTTTGAAACAAATATTACATATACACTTATAGATGTACAATGTAAGCACATTTTTTCAAAGTATTCTGACTGATCGACATTTCTTTGTAATAAAACAAACTATTTCTTTTTTTTAAAATATGACATTTGACTTAATGACATTGGGAGAGGTCATTGCAGTTACAATGAACTTCCAGTTGCCCATGTACATTTACTGTTAGTGTACAAAGTTAATGAATAGACTAGAGTGACAAACATAATTATGTATTAAGTACAAAATATCCACTACACAACTATATTAATAAAAAAGATTCCATAAAATCAGCACATGCTATTTTCACCGAATATGCCAAAGATCCTAATTAAGTTAGATCAAACGTTTCTCAAGTGTCTGCTTGAATCACTTCCTCACTGATATCCCATGAAATTCACAATAATAAATAAATAAAAGATGGCGTTATGTTAGAGGGTAGCCAAATAAATGGTCATGTCATGAACGGATTCACTTTAAGTAGGAAGGTTCAGAAAGTTCAATGTTGATCATTTCCATAGACACTTCAAACTTTGCTGGCTCAATTTCTGAAAGAAAAGATGACCATTAGGATGTATGATAATTAATTAAATATCTATCGCATATATAAACAAAAATAAATGACAAATAATAAAGTAAGGCTCTACAAGACTGTACGTAAAGACAATTGGTTATTTCAACCTGACGGTTCAGTATAGTGTAGAATAGAAATTCACTATCTTGCAGTGTTTTTATTTAGGCAAAATTAGGCAAGGGTTCTGGGGGCTGCCTAGTGGGGACTAGGGGGCGAATCCCTCGGAAGCTCCTGGATTCTAGAGATTTTGTAGGGTAAAAATGAGGTCTACTAATTAGACATAATTACATTTTCTAGACGAAACTGATTTACGCTAACTTTGACAATTTTAGGGGGGGAGGGGCGCCAGGTGCAACTGCGCCCCCCTTAAATCCGCCACTGTTTAGATTACCTGTCAGAATCCATTGTTATGTATTTTTAGGATAAGGAAATTAAGAATACAAACCTCTTGTTTACTTTAGTAGATGCAATATTTTTTTTTTTAAGTTTTATGCTGAAAGATGCAAGTTAATAAAAACAATGTTAGGTTATTTGTGTTACTTAAATTAAAAAAAATTGAGCTGATTCTCACCATTTTTACAAGCTGACTATTCGCCGGCGCTGTGGGAATCGTCTCGAGCAAAGTCCACTGCATGCAACTATTAAATAATCAAAATAAGTGCTGACAATGATCTTGAACATGCATTTAAAAATAAATATATATTATTACATTGTACAACATACTCTGTAAATGTTGAAGAGAGGAACACTAAAATTCCTGAATCGATCCCAAACGAGGAAATTCGGGTTGAAGTCCATCTTTATGAGAGATGTTTAGAAGTCTTAAATTATTATAACAAAATTGAAATAGCGCTTGCTCAAACGATTTCACTGCCAGGCGTTTTATGTGTAGTGTCCTGACTAAGGAACAGTAGCAGAAGCAATTATTCATTCTGAATCATTCAAGGACAAATGTTAAAATATTTTGTACATTGTACCTACCGCAGTACCGGATCGTAAAATGTCTTCATCTTCTGTCAAATAGAAATTCCATCCAAAGCTAGTCATGATTCTCCTTTTCGCGACACTCTTTTCCGAACTTTCCTTCTGTACAACATCAACATGTAACCCACCAAAAATTTAAATTTCGGCGCGGTGTGTTGTTTAAATTAATTGCTTATCGAGCCCGACTTCGATCCCGAAGTATAATTGTACTATTAGTCGACAGTTTTAGAGAAAATTCTAAGTTAGATTCCATAGTTTTGAAAATCTACGTAAGGGTTAAATAATTAAAAATGATTAAATAAACAAAGAAATAAAAAATAAAATAAATAAATATTTTTTAAACGTTTCAATTTTAGTTTACATAGCAACATGGTTCAACATGTCGGGCCAACATTACAAAGATGTCCATACTTCAACATTAAAAATAACAATGTTCAGGCACGTAGCAACGGGGGGGGGGGGGGGGTCTTTAGTGAAATAAAGGAAAAATAGCAAAAAAATTGGAAGTGAAATGAAGTTGGCCTTGAAAAAAGTTGGTCACCACCACCCCCATCCTTTTGCTTGTCAAAATTTTTAGGCAAGTAAAAAAAAAGTCTATGGTTGCCCCCCCCCCCCCCCCCCCCTTGAGAACGATGCTACGGGCCTGATGTTGGCCCGACGTTGGAACAATGTCAGTGCACCAACTGTTGTAATAACAATGTCGGACCGATGTTGGTACAATGTCAATGCACCAACTGTTGTAATTACAATGTCGGACCGATGTTGGTATAATGTCAATGCACCAACTGTTGTAATTACAATGTCGGACCGATGTTGGCCCAATATCGTTCTGCCAACCGCGATATGTAGCCGATCTACCAACCATATGCCAACATTGGCCCAACGTCAGCTTGCTATCTGGGTAGTTTTCTTGGTGAATTTTTATAGCTCTTACTAAAATTAGAACTTCAGAAACAGGCACGTATGAAAGGTCTTCCAACGTTTCCATGCAGAATAGTAAAATCACAGTTATATTTGCAAATGTGTTAATAAATTTTGGTTGAGAAACTCTGTTGTTACATGAATCTTCTTCCAACCTTTTTTTTTGCTTGTCAAAATTTATCAGATAATTTGTTTATAATTCTTTTTTTCATACTTATGAAAAGTTGTTATTGTAAGAAAAACTATAACTAAAAAAAGCCTTTCTACTGTTTTCCTGAGCAGTCAAATAAATCGCTGCTTGACAGTGGACTGAGATGTTGGACCTGTCGATGAGCTATGGCACCGCTTACTTCACAGTGTGGGCGAGATCACTGTCAGAACTTGATGGAATTGACCAAGTTTAAACTGCAGTGCTCGTGAAAAAAAAATCATCATGATAATATCATAATAAACAATATAACGATTCATTAATGGATTGTTCTCGGACAAAAATGCTTTTTGTCGACCCCTCAAATAAACTTTTTGCCTTCGGACTAACAACCTCGAGCAAATAGTTTGGTTCTTCGGTCCGAAAAAAACGCATGTTGCCTTCGAACTCTGTCTATGAATATATACATGTAGTACTGACAGTGTAAACCCCAGATAATCCCAAATATTCTCATTTAAGATACATAGTTTGTGCCTGAAGATGTGTTTATATGATAAATGAAAAATAAAAATAAATAATTTATATGTTGACCAAATTGAAAGCATATACCATTTTAAAAATTTCTAACCCCCCCCCCCCCCCCCCCCCCCCCCCCCCAAGAAAAAAAGAAGTCAAGGGGCGGGAATGACGCACCAGAGATTTCCACTTTTCTAATAAAAAGAAATGGTTAATATCATTATGAAGAAATTTTCCATATTATAAATCTGGTTGTTCTTTTTTATGGAGAGACTGCCATTGTTGAAAGTGAGGGTTCGTGATCTTTTTGAATTTTTGTAATGTGTAAGAAAATTACATCCTGAGCTAGGGAAGGATCTTGTCCCCATGCAACTGTGCTCCGAAGATATATAATCCAATTGTATATGTATTCTTAAACTAAAAACAACACCAGATTAGGTCATGCATTTCACTTTATTTTGCGACTCCCCTATGCGTTGTGTTTTTCCAGAAACGACTCCCCCCTACGTAACCATTACTTTCTGAACAGAAAATGTCTTAATTATTAATTTTTATAAAGTCTAGCCAAATTTCAATTGTTGCATTTGAAAGATTAACGTTTGCTTTTGCTGTTTTAACTGTTATAATCCCTAAACAAGTCGTAGATTGTGCAAACTATGCATGTTTTAAACACTCGATCAACGTAAATATGAAATCTGTCGAATAGTTTCGAAGTGTTTGAGAAAACTAGACGTATATGCTAGCCGGACAAATGACCAACAGAAAGCTTAACTATTGCTACCTTCCGTGGGCTAGTTGTTTTTTGTAAATACATCTTACATATACCGAAAAAAGACGTGACCCACATCACTTCTGATTCCGAAGCGGTGAAAATCGACTCCCCCATACGTTGAAAACGACTCCCCCATACTTTTTAGCGACTCCCCCGCGTTACCCGTTGTATACGGTGGAATTATAGCCTCAACTTTGCAAGCTTTTCAAGACAGAAAGAAGTTTGAGTCACCTTTCTATTATAAGTTTAAGTCACAGAAATGCTTGAAAACACCATTTCTTGTTATTAATGTTACTTCTATACACGTTTTGAATAAAGAAGTAAAAAAAAAATTTCAAAAAAAAAAAAATTGCCTACCTACCTACCCTATATTTTTTCAGCCTGAAAGCGGAAACAAACATATTAATTTTTTACTAGGCCAGATGCAAGAAATCAGTAAAGGGATGATTCTTCTACAACTTAATCATCATTTAAAGGATATTATTGCCATTTAAAGGGCTCTGTTGCTGACAAATGAAACATCACTTGAATTAGGTCCCCTCGTATGATGCTTCATTTGTGCTTCATAAGAGGCTTGTTTGTAAAAGTTTTGTCTAGGAAATATACCATGTCTCATTTTGATTACAAATGGTGTCATTGATCATGGAAAACACACTGCCAATGTTTAAAAGGAAATATCTATGCATCTACAAGTACTTTTAAATATGACTGACAAAAAGTTTGAAAGAAATTTTGATACAATGATTTGGTTACCTTTAAAGTACGATATTCACCTCACCCTTTGGGCTCAGGTAATATTGTACTCTTCAGGTGGCTAAATCAGTGTTTTGCCCTAAAAAGCAGCAATATTGTATAGTAATGTTATATTTCACTGTTGAAAATACAATGAAAAGATCTGGCTGATGGCAGCCTGACCCCTAATAACGTAAGTCTAGATTTATTTTGTATTAGTAAGTGCAGCTTCAGTTAAGACAGTTACTAAAATATTAGAAATGAGGAATGCTTAATTAGAATGTAAATACTTTTCTTGCAAATTTTTGTGAGATATCTTCTTAGAATTTTTTTGCTTCCACATGCAGTTTCATGTGATATTAGCAAATATAATAAGTCATATCTCAGTTATTGCGGTCACCTGCATGACGCAGTGGTTAGAGTGTCTGCTCTTGAGTCAAGGAGTAAGGAGTTGATCCTTATGTCACAGGTTCAAATCCCACGGGGGGGATGTGTCCTTGGGTTGAGACCGTATAAATCGAGTTCCTGTGTCGCAGTAAGGTGCTGGCATAAAAAAGATCCCTCAGTGGCTGTAAGTGCCGAGCATAGGACAAAATTTGTAGCTCTCCAGCGGCAAGTGGTGGCGTCTTCATATGAGTGGAAAATTCTCAAGAGGGACGTTACACAACAATCAATTAATTGATCAATCAGTTATTGTGAAGACTGGGGTCTTCAGAGAATTCAAAAGAAATTAAATATGATTGCATCTCAATTACAATAACTTTTTGTTAAAGTTTGGCACTGTTTGGACTGTGTCATAGTCTCATAGAAGTACAACTGAATGAACTGATATATGACATCAAAAATATGGAGATAAAAATGAACAGTATTTAATCTCAAAAGTCCATGGAAACTATTCAAGATGGTAGCAGAGCAAACACAGACCTCTAAAATCACAGAGGTAGGATCAGATGCTGTAACATCTAGACTACATCTTGTCAGTTAGTTGAAAGATAATCAAAGTTAAAAGTGTTAAAGGAAGCCATTTATTTATAATACTTAAACAAACTTACCGACTTTGGAACGGTGATCTCTTCTTTGTTGCAGTGTCATGTTTTTTTCTAAAACAGCTACTTCATTTGTTTAGACACTGCACACTAGATAAATTGTGGGTTTATTGGTCTCTATCAAAATTTGGTTGCTTCTGAATAAATATCGGTACTTAGTTTTGAAACGTCCAGAAGAATCGCTGGCTGCTACATACTAATATATTTTTTTTTATCATATCAAAAAGGTACATGGAAAATTGATGTGTTGGGTTTTGTTAGGCTTATTTTCTGGTCAGGATAGAATATCTAATTGTTTATGACACACAAGAAGTTAAGATATTGATTTCTGCTCCCAGGGGCGGGCATCAGTGAGTGATAATGTATGTAGAAAGTGCAGCTGCCATCACTCATAACAGGATAAGTTACTATTTAGTTCAAGATCATCCTCGGCATTAGGAATGTTATTTAATGTTTAAATACCACAATTGATTAAAGTGTTGATAGAAAGCACAAGTACATAAAACTGTGGAAATGGGAAACTTTTATGAATTATGAATCTAATTACAACTGATTAAACTTTTATGCAACTGACTACATCGATGTAATTGAAATATGGTATTGATCTCCAGTCGACTGCATTGTCATATAATCCATCTTTGAAGTTATTACCTATGCTGATACATACATGTATACATGTATAGAAATTGATTACATTTAACCATTTGATAATTCAGACTCCGGCACCATAAAATGCTCACTTTTGATCTCACTTTTCCACAATTCCTTTAAATTGGTAAAAGTGTAGACTGGTACCAAACGTGTGCTCATCTAAGTTTTATGGCCCAGATCCTCGTGTACATGTAGAAATTTCAATTAAGTGTTCTAATTATAGTAATGGATGAACAGCCTCCAAAGTTGGCCACTGATGCAGTGCTTGTCAAGAGCGAGAAGATTCCAGAAGAAGTGGGTACGGTGAAGGGGTATGACTTCAATGATGGGGTCAACTACCACAAGTTACTGCAGTCCTATGCCAGGTCAGGATTCCAGGCAACCAACTTTGGCAAGGCAGTAGAGCAGATTAATAAAATGGTAGGCACAGAACTGTATATGAATATTTATTCATCAGAGCTTTACATGAAGTGTGTGTTTTTGGGGGGGTGGGGGTGATAGGACCCATTTTTCTGTCCTTCAAACCTGAGCCAAAGGCTCAGTTGAGTTTTTCTGAGTGAAATTTTCCATTTTCTATCATTTTTTCAAACTTTTCACATTTTCATCTTCTTCAGATCCACCTTTTCTCAGATTGTCTGTCATTTGCTTAAGTTTAAATTTCTCTCTCATATTGTCAAAATTTCTCACTAGCTCTGTGTCAAAAGATGTGTTCTTCATTAATACTGTTACAGATTGACTGTAAGCTGACACCAGTACCAAAAGAAAAGTTGGATGAAGTGAACTTGAACCCATGCAACAGAGAGAAGTCTAACTGTACCATATTCCTGGGCTACACATCTAACCTGATCTCATCAGGTGTCAGGGAGACCTTCAGATACCTGGCACAACACAATATGGTTTGTAACATCGTCATTGTGGAACTTGTTCAAAATAAATGTTAATTTCAAGAGTTACTGCCCCTGACACAGAGGTCAGACATCGTTAACCAAATGATAAGCGGACATTGAAAAGGGGGCTTATTTAAAACTGACTGCAGTTTACTTTGAAAATTAAAAAAAAAAGTGTTCTGTTGTAATAAGAAATGCAAAAGCAGTGATGACAGATACTTTGTATGAACACATAATGTGTAACTTTATACGCTATACTGAGCTTTTGTATTTGTTTGAATTTTGGGAATGTGCAATTGGCATTTACATACAAATCATTCACTTTTATGGGAATTAATCATGTTAATGCTTTAAAATATATATTAAATATACAGAAAGAAAAGGCTGACAGAACTTGTGTACAGTAAAATTTGTCTAATCCGGACTCTGAGTACTCCGGACTTTTGTCCATTCCGTCTATAAATTTTAGTCCCTTGCACTTCTTTAACAAATTCATTAAAAAAAATTCTGTGTAGTCCGGATACTGTCTATTCTGTATTCCGAACGGCCATACTGGTCCCAACTGCTCATAATTAACGGTAATTATTCCCTCTATTCCGGCCACACCTGAGTTACTTCAAAGCAATTAACACCTTTCGCGGTGGATGTGATAATCCGTGTTTACATTAGCATGATTAGTGCCATGAGACGAACTCAGTGAAATGCGGCGGTGACACAGCCCACTTGAAAAATGTATTATATTATTAAATTACAACTTAAAAAAATAACTTTGTTTTAACTCCTTTAACCACATTATAACATAAACACAAAAATATATGTACGCGATTTACAAATCAAAATATGAATCGGGATCGAAAATCGAACGCATTACAAAATGGCGCCATAACACTGTGGGAGAAGACGTAATTTTTAAATAAAAATTAAAAGTTCAATCTAATAATTAACACATCGTAAATAATTGTGCATTACTGTTAAGTGATTAAATGAGGTCTTTGACAAGTGAAACCCGATCCGCTTGTTATCTAGTAGGCCTATATTATGCGTGCCTGTATATTTTGATTAACATACCGTAACATTTCACCCGACTTTCAAAATTTGTGAACAAATAAGAAAATACAATAAGTCATGTGAGACTATTTTATAATTTCTAGACTCCAAAATATTGCTTGACTTCATCATTTAATTTTTTTTTATAATATGTATATGATGTACTTGTAAATAAACAACGAAATTTTCGAAATTGATATTTTCCTGCATTTTTCCTGCACTCCGGATTCTGTCTAAACCGGCCAAATTTCATGGAACCGGCGGTAGCCGGTTTGGACAAATTATACTGTATATAATTTTGAATCTAGTTCTAAAGTGGTGAAATATGGCAAATTTCCTTTGATGTTTTCGGATTAGGTTGACTGCATAGTGTCAACAGCTGGTGGAATCGAGGAGGACTTTATCAAATGTCTGGCGCCTACCTTCCTTGGAGACTTTACCTTAAAAGGCAGTGACCTCCGGGAGCGAGGGATAAACAGGATCGGGAACCTACTGGTGCCCAATGAGAACTACTGCCTGTTTGAGGACTGGCTGATGCCCATTCTGGACAAAATGTTGGAGGAACAGAAAAATGAGGTAGGAATCCAGTATTTCAGTGGTCAGTTCATTCAACAAAATGTTACAGGAAAAAAAAGTTGAGGTGGGCAATATTTCAGTGGTCAGTTCAATTAATGTTTTGCTTTAATCCTCATCAAATCATTTAATATTTCATTCTTGGCATATGAATATTCTTGGGCTGACATATCCACCTTTGGTACATGTTCTCAAAGTTGCACAAAAGTCTTGATGATGCTAAAGTAAAAGAATTTACTCAGACCATGTTTACTTTATATGCTACTGAGCTTTTGTGTGAGGAAGTGATGTGATTTTTCAAAATCCCTATAAAAAGAATCGTTTGAATTGCCTCCATCTACCAATTTCAGAATGTGATGTGGACTCCCAGCAAGATGATAGCTAGACTAGGAAAGGAGATAGACAATCCAGACTCTGTGTACTACTGGGCTTACAAGGTACGCTTTACGGCTTCTTGGTCTGTGAAACAGATTTACAGTATTTTTTTTTCCAAATTGAAAATTTCCAAAAGATATAAAATCTGATCTTTGTGAAATACTTGTGATATTTTTGTGCACTGGTTCTAAGTTGCACGTGTTTTTAAAGAAGTATTTTACTGATTAATAATTTGATCTAATGTTTCAGAACAATATTCCAGTATTCTGTCCAGCTCTAACTGATGGATCCATTGGAGACATGATCTACTTCCATTCCTTTAAAAACCCCGGGCTGGTGTTGGACATTGTAGAAGGTACTTAAAATGTGCAGCAATTAAATTTAATTTTTTTCTCTGAACTATTAAGAAGCACATTTGTTCTCTTAAATATCTAGGCTCTTGATTTTGTTTAAGAACAAGTAACATTTCATTGGTACCAGTTTACACAAAAGCCATGATGACAAGAATGTAAAAGAATAAACAATGTTTAATTCTATACGCTATACTGAGCTTATGTGTAAATGGAATTCTGTAAAAAAAATTTCCAAGCTGGAGATAGAGCTGATTTATTATTTAAGGAATTTTAAAACAATATTTGATAATATTAAAAGTTACAACGGTTGCAAATATGCACTTTGAAAATTTCTTCTCTGTCATTGAACACTATCAAAGATAATGTTCTATGATTTTTGACGCTTTTTCCAGACATACGTCGGATAAACAGCCAGGCTGTGTATGCTGTCAACACTGGAATGATTATACTGGGAGGTGGAGTTATCAAGCATCACATCTGTAATGCCAACCTTATGGTAAAATTAACTGTGCAGCCAGTTTTTAAAAAATTGCTCATTAATTTCAACTTTATTAATTGGAAATATTTCAATGAGGTGTTCAAATTTGTTACTGTATAACCTGAAATTTAGTATAAATGAAAATGGGGGTGTCTGAATGATGAATTTAGATAAAGAGGTGGGGGAGACAAAGTGAATGGTTCCATTCAAAAAATAAATTATTCTGAAGAGCTTTTCTTTATCTTTTTTTGAGAAGACACCTTACCCTTTCTGTTTGTTCATTCTCAGTTGAGGTCTCAAACAGAAGTTGTGCACTTACCACCTCAATTGAATCTATGCTATTAACAAAGCATTTAATGCAAAATTTTTTGTTTTACAGAGAAATGGTGCCGATTTCAGTGTGTTTGTAAACACTGCTGCAGAGTTTGATGGAAGTGACGCTGGAGCGAGTCCTGATGAAGCCGTGTCCTGGGGAAAAATCAAGAAAACGGCAAAACCGGTCAAAGTATGTGGAGCCTTTTATTGAGCTTCGTATAATCAGAATCCCCACTTACATTTGAAAGAAAAAAAAGGAAATTGACCAAAGATGGGTTCTTTCAAAAGTTTTGAAAATACTAAGTTTGAATATATTTTGCAACATAACATGCTTGTGTCAGCATAACATGCCAGTGTCAAATAGTACAATAAATTTGGAATGCAAAAATATCACTTCACAAAACCAGCTTAACACCTTTACTTATTATATTTTACGTTGTTACTAGGTTTATGGTGAGGCTACGTTGATTTTCCCTTTGTTGGTGGCAGAAACTTTTGCCAGGAGAGAGAAGGAGATGACAACACAGAAAGAATAAGTTCGACCAAAGAGTAGCACATCTGAGAAGTTGTTTCCCTTGTGGACATTCCAAAGCTGTGTTGAAGAATGTGCGGAAATCTTTAACTCAGGGACAAATTGTTAAATCCTTCCCAGGGCTGTTTTCATAGTTTCTATGGAAATTGGTGATAGTGTTGGGTAACAGTTGGGAATCAGACGAAGTGTGAAAGCATATAGTGCCTGTATGCTGTACTGTATTTAAAGAGTAATCTCTGAAATCCACACATTGAGTCAAATCACATTTGAAACAATGTCCCAAAAAATTGAGATTAATTTGTCATATGCTAGTGAAGATCTGTTTCTACTAGCCACAGTATGGAAATATATATACATACAACGATTACACGTGTAAACAGAGAACTTTTGTGTGATATGTCTCAAACGTTTACAGTTTTATAAACGTTTACATGAAGGTCATTATCAATGTCTATCAGATTAATAAAGTTTAACACAAAAAAAATTGTTTTATTTCATAATTTAAAGAAACACCGTTTTTGGCCATTTGATAAGCAACAATCTAAACCGGAAACATATTGAATGAAAATATGTAAAACTCGTCTGTTTTTAACATCTTAATTGTTTTCCAAGTTGCTAATACTAGCGATGTTTTACGACACTTGAAATATAAAACTTGATATATTTTGATTAAATAAATATAATGGTTTTCACAAGTCTTTGAAAAGTTTCAATACATTGAAGCAGGTCCTGTTTTACTTTTATCGAGATTAAAAGATCCATCTTTACAATTATTTTTACATAAGTCACTATACCAAAAAACCAAGCAGTTGTGGTGATGAGGTTTAAGTGAATGAATTTAATGCGCCACCAGAAATTCTTACGGTTAAATCACAATGACCAACAATAAATTTGTAATAACAGCTCATACTTATATTAAAGTGAAAGAATTGATTATTAAATTGAGTTTAAGGAATGAGTAGCCATAAAAATCTCAACATAGAATATTTCCCATTAAAGCACTCTGCTGTTTCTGCTGTACTGCTATCCGTTTAAACGTTTACAAAATTCAGTAAACGTTTCACCCTTAATGGAAATATATATACATACATACTATGGTCCCATGAGAGACAGAACAGAGAACTTTTGTGTGATACTCGTCTCAAACTTAAGTCATACTTTTTATAGAATGACATGATTTCTTTTGTTGAATAGTTCACTGGATTATTAAAACATTTCCTTGTAAAACAAGGAGAATACCCAGTATGTGATAGGATAGTGTAACCATGTGCTATCTGTTTTTATCATCTGTTGTTTTTCAGTCATAAACCTTTTAATATTTTCAATTTCTTTTCTGAAATCATTTTCATCCAAATTTGGTGCGTAGCATTTATGGGAAAAGGGAAACAACTTTGTGAATTTCATGTTCCCTCCTATCCTCACAATGGCAAGGTTTTGTGATTTCGGAACTCCACACAAATCCTTTACATAAGTCACTATAGAAAAATTAGGCTTGTGGTTACACATGAGGCAATGGGGTTTTCAGTCAGTTTTCAGACGCATCCACCAGAAAATCTGTCCATTTATGTAATGTGGTCCAAACCATGACCTGCTTTTAATATTCCTTCTTGTTGAGTGAGTGAAACCAAGTCACAATTTTGCAAGTGTGGTATACTTCCTCTCTCACTAATTGGGTTTTAAGGTAATGTATAATGGCATATTTTTTATCTCTTTATGGTTGAATAAATTACATTAAAGCACTCTGCTGTTCTCTGCTGTAGCAACTTTCATCATGGATCTGTGAAATGACAGTCATGTAATCGACGCCGTAATATATCAGAGTATCAATATTTTTTGCACAGCCCTATTGATAATTAATAAAATTCTTTTTTGTGGATCCTAAACAGGGTTGTTTCATACTAAGGTGACCATTAATAAGACCCCTGAACCTCTTGTTTGATCATGTTGATATACAAATTGTCAATTTTGTATTTGATCTTAATGTTATCAAAATGCAAAGCTATGTTTGTTACATTTATGAACTGTTAACCTTGATGTGTGATATTTTTATTTTTTTTTATCACAATGCATACTGATTTTATGATTTTGTTTAAAAGAAGCCTATTAAAGTTTTCCATTTTTAAATGTTGATTTTTTTTCTTTTATTACGTATTTCTTTACATGTGATCTTGAATTACTTATTTTAAATATCTGTTCATATTGTGCAAGTATGGAGTTTTATGCACATGTATATTTGTTTTACCTGCAGAGCAGTGTGAAACTTAGGAACTACATTATCTAGCATCTGTTTGTCTGTCCATCTGTCATATCCTATATAATTTGAAGAACTGAAAGAGGTATGCCTTTGTTAATGAAAATTTGTCACAAATAATGCTTGGCACAATGGCTTAACTACCAACCTTGTAACCTTTGAACTTGGATGATTCTTTCACATTCGTATATATGACAAAGTATGTACCATAGAAATCTTTTCAAGAACAGCAATTTCAACCAAACTTGCCACAAAGTATCCTAGGGTAAAAGGATTCAAGTTTCTATGTAAAGGAAACGAAATGACCTTGAAACCACTACTTCCCCGTTAAATATGGACCACTAGTAAAATTGATTTTTAGTGTTTATAAAGGAATTTGACTTAAAGGCTGGAGGAGGAATTAACGAATATTGCTGATGCCTATCAAAGAACACAGGATAAACTGTTCAAGGACTGGATGATGCCTATTCTGGACAAAATGTTGGAGTAACAAGAAAATGAGGTAAGTGGTCATTTCAATCAATAAAATGTTGCAGGAAAAGATAAGGTAGATATTTTATTTACTGCTCGAATTAATTTAAATGGGTTTGTAGGATTTTTGCATGTTCATTCAGGGCACCCCTTATGCATATTTTGTTGTTAACAATTGACTGTGGGTATATGTGCTTGAATTTGCACAAATGTCGTGATGAAACCCAAAATACCCGGTAAAAGAAAATGACCATGTTGACTTTTATATGTTATATTGTATAATTTATTTCCATCTTAAAATTTTCCAGGGTGTTGACTGGACCCCAAGGAAGATGATGTATATAGGTAGACTAGGAAATAAGACCAATATCCCAGACCCACTTATATACTGAAAATGAACTTGTGAGGTAACAAATATTTTTGAAAAGTGGATGCCTTATCAAAAATTGTAGTGTGTTTTGCCTAAACAGATGTGTGGTGACAGATTATTCTGCATATTACTGGTATTGAAATTCTCCAAAAAGTACATTATTTAATTTAATTCAAGCCTTGTAATATCTTGTGGTTTGAAGTTTCCAGCTAGCTTTTTTTGTTATGACAGTATTATAAATATACACAGATAAAGTATATGTCAGTACCACTGTCATCAGCAGATTTTATGAACATTTAGGTTCTCTTGCTCATATGAGAACAAAAAACATTCATTTACACCATATACAGTGTACACAAAAGCTATGATGACACAAATGGAAAAGAATCAATTATGTTTAATTCTATACGCTATACTGAGCTTTTGTGTAAAAGAAATTTTCAAATTTCCCAAATGATTATTTTATTCAAGGATTGAAAGTTAAGGTGAATTTTTTTTTCAAACTTTTCACATGTCGCAGAATTTTATCTTAATTGTGAATTTAGGTTTGCAAGTTTTTTGTCATTCATTGAATACCAAAAAAAAAAAAAAAAAGGTTGAATGCCATTATATATATACCTTATTTTCCAATTTTTCTAGACATATGCTGGATTTAAAGCCAGGCTGTGTATGCTGTCAACACTGGAATGATTATACTGGATGTGGAGTCATCAAGCATCACATCTGTAATGGTAAGGGTTAATGTGCAGCCAATCTTTGTACCTCTCCAGATCAATTTCAACTTTATTGCCAAGAAAGGCTAGAAACCATTTCTTCTGTTTAGAATGAATACTGATATTAGTTTGGGTAGGTCAGAAAAAGGACTTGATGATAATTTACATATAATAAATTTTAGGCAAAGAAGTTCCTAATAATCAATTTTGATAAATTAATACTTAAATAATTGTTAATATTTTGGGTTTTTGTTTAACAGCGAAATGGTGCAGATTTTAGTGTGTTTGTAAACACTGAGGCAGAGTTTGATGGAAGTGATGTTGGAGCAAGTCCTGATGAAGCTATATCTTGCGTCATGGAAAAAAATCAAGAAAACAACCAAACCTGTCAAAGTCTATGGAATCTTTTATTGAGATGTTGGTTTTGAGAACCAGTCATCTAAAAATAATTTGTGGAGAGAAAAAAAGCAAATTGTGAAAAATCTGTAAAAAAGTTTTTTAAATACAAATAACAAATATATAGAATATTTTTTGCAAAATATCTTGCCTGTGTTAAATGTAACTTTTTTAATGTTAAATTTCATAAAACCAATTGAACAGCTTATAATCAACATACATGTGTTATGTATCTATATGTTTATGAAGAGGCTACATTGATTTTCCCTCTGTTGGTGGCAGAGAATTTTTCCAAGAGAGAGAGAGAGATCACATTACAGAAAGTATAAGACAAAATTAATGTTGTATAATGTTATTATATAGAACAAAAGGAAGTTTTTTTTTTGACTATCTGGGACAAATCGACTGGTCATCTTCATGGCTCTGTAGTGACAGTTTTGAGTAAAAGTGGTGAATGAATTTAAGTCTGGAACTGTATACTCTTTGTGTGTGACTCTGAATTTAAAGAATGATTGTTGAAATCCTGAAATGTTTTTTTTCAGCATTGTTGAAAGAAAAATTCTGCTTTATGCTTAAACAGATATTTTGGTTAACAACATGTTGATATTAAAATCAACAGCGAACAAATATTTGATCACAATAAAAGCGTGTTATGATGTGTTACTAGTACATGTATTTATGGTGGCTGCTATAGAACATATGCTTGAAATTTTTTATTTGAAAAGAAAATGTTCCCATAAAATTACATTCGTTTCCACAAAATAAAACAAATATTCCCAAGAAATAAAAATAAATAGTTCCCACGAAATTGATTTCCTTCCCACGAACTTGAGTTCGTTCCCATGAAATTAAAATTCATTCCCACGAAAATAAATTCGTGCCAATGAATACAGAAAATACCAGGTAAGAACTGCGAGTTGCCGATACGAAATATATATAATGGGTTAGTTTGTGGGGGAGGAGGTTTGTGTTGTATTTTATGCCCCTGGATCGAAAGATCCCGGTGGTGTATTATTATTGTCCCGTCTGTCTGTTGTCAACTTCAACCTAGCCCATAACTATTGCGCTGTCATAAGTAAGTGTATACCACTTCAGTCTACGTCACACTCCAGAATTGTGTTACCATCTGGGGCATAGTGTTTTACAAACATATCTTGTTTTTCTATTAAAAAAAATGAGGTCATCAAGTACAGTAGTTTAGATATTAAAAACGGAACGTTCCTACGAGTCTAGGAAATACAGGTATTTTAACCTGTTCGTTACGTAATCATTGTCTTTTGGCAACTATTTCTTATATCATTTTACTAACAATTCTGCATGGGTATGGGTTGGTTAATAAAGCTTTCAGTATTTCTCTATTCAGTAGCCTATGTTTTTTCGTTGGAAAGTCAGAGCCATTTGAGGATTTCTAACAATGGATATGAGCTCTTGGTGGTGGGGGTACATGACAGCGTGCCTGACAATCCAGCCACCTTACAAAAACTTAAGGTATAACTTTCTTTTCTTTGTGAATTTATGATTTTTAAGATGATAAAGTAGAACTCTATAATGATTGATTGTATGTTGTTTAACGTCCCTCTCGAAAATTTTTCACTCATATGGCGACGCCACCATTTGCAGGTGGAGGGCTACAAATTTTGTCCTATGCTCGGCACTTAGGGCCTTTGAGCAGTGAGGGATATTTTTCGTGCCAGCACCTACTGCGACATGGGGCAGTCTCATCCGAAGGACCGGTCTCCACGTCCCACGGTGAAATTCGAACCTGTAATGTAAGGATTGACTCCTTACTTCGCGACTCTAGAGCAGACCCTCTATATAACCACTGCGCCACGCGGGCGACGAGCTCTGTAATTAATGTGACTGATTCTCTAATTTAGTTACCATGCTTACGTTTGATCAATGCTATTAAGGTATATGATTTGAATTTCTAAAATTAAGTTTGCATTGATTATAATATCTTTTTTGTTTTCCTCATTTTCATTGTAATTGACAGCTTGATTGGTGTTTTTTTCATTGTGTTTGCCCTGAGGATTATATCATGAAGCCCCTATTTTGACCATCAGATGTAGTTACTAGTATATTTAAGGAATCATGGTCTAGTTAGTAGATTCATGTTGTGAGTTCACCATTTTTTTTCTACAAATGTGTACATGTAACACATGTAGCTCAAAAGTTTATAAACTTCTGTAGGGAGAGGGCGAAATAAGTTTTAAAAAATTGTGCCCAATCCCATTGTATATCATTATTATTTTTTATATACAATAAAATAGGTTCAATTCAGTTAGTAGATATGTCCCTGGCATACTCTACTAACTAGACAGCGATTCCTTATATTTCCATTTCATTGTGAAAAAAGGAAATTTTAAATTTTAAAAATTAATAGATTTGAATTGAACGAGGCGCCCCATGTCAATTTCAATAGACGTCAAACAGACAGCTGCACGGTTTTTACGCGCATGTTAGGCTTCCTTAGCGTCAAACACAAAGAAATGCACGAGATTTACATGCATATTAGACCTCCATAGCTTCTGATTTTCCATCAAGAAATCAAGTCTACTATTTTCAAATAGTCATCACAGAGAAAACAAATAGAAATGGAAGTATATAAGCATCACTGAACGAATTTGAAAAACCTGTAAACGTCTTTACTACAGAGTACCATCATGCAAAAACAAATTTTTATACAAGTTGAACGTTTTATAATGCACAGCATTATTCTTTTGATCTTACTGCTTAAATGCATTTTGCTAAACGGAATAATTTCTCTTTCAGACTATTTTTACAAAGGCATCAAAAGTGCTGTATACTGCGACAAGAAAGCGAGCATATTTCAAGAAGGTCTTCTTTCTTCTACCCAGTACATGGGCTAGTCGCCCAGAATACAAGCCATCTACCTCGGTGAAATTAACGGGGGCGGATATAATATTCTCGGCGCCCAAAGGGGCCACAAGAAGGAGTTTTTCTCACACAAGATCTTATGCTGGATGTGGACATCAGGCGTTCCATACACAACTAACAACGGATGTTCTGAATAGCAATCACCCACTTGCACAGTCTTCCCCTGGTAAAGAGTTCGTCTTGTGGTAGAGGCAATGGGTTACATGTAATTGTCTCTATAAAAAATAAAAACCAAAATAAATAGGGTGATATCGATACAGAGAGAGATAGCGACGTGCTTTGAAACTGTTATTCTTCTCAGCGAAGATCACAATTTATTTATGATTGATTACTTTTATTATAATACAACTGTAATTTATTGGAGGTATATCACCGAAGGTATATGATATCTCTTTTAGTTTTTAAAGTTTCTAACCGACATGTAAATGAAAATGTTCCCAGCGTAATTCACGACTTCTACCATGGACTTGATAAAATTTTGTTTTTTGCAAACTTTTAAAAGTTGTGATACATGTATATATTATAGGTATATATGTCTAAAAATGCTATTTTCCCATTAACGACAATGTTTCTTTATTTCTATTTTCTTTCAGAAAAATATATCGTCCATGAGTTTGCCACGCTTCGATATGGTGTGTTTGAAGAATATCCAAACCCAGGAGAAAACGAGTTTTACTTTTCGACAACGTTTGGGAGACTCGATCCAGTTCGATGCACTATAGGACTTCGTGGAATTATTCGAAGTTCGAAGGGATACTGTCTTTTTTCTTCCATCGATCCGGAAACGGGGGAATTTCCTCCAGGATGCCATTATATGCCTTATCCATACAGAGCAAATGGAACAGCGTCAATGATGGATCACCAGTATATAAGAGAGGTAAAAACCATCGTCTTTTGACATCGTCTCTAAAAACCAGAGTGTGAAAGTAATTTTTAAAAAGTTTGCAACTGAACTCATTTATTTCAATTTCTTATTAAATCCTCTGTCAGACTTGTTTATGGATATCATTAACGTCATATTTCACCAATATATATATATATATATATATATATATATATATATATATATATATATATATATATATATATATATATATATATATATATATATATATATATAATTTTCCACTGCAAAATAGTATCGCAGTTATTGTGAAAGAGACTTGAAAAAAAAATTTGTTAAAAGGGATGTGTAAGTGAGGGAAAAAAAAGATCACGATACATAACAAAAAATATTGCAATACATGTATATTATAATATATCAAGTGTTTGAATTTACAGGTTTTTAAAACTTATTTTTGAAAAACATCAGAGATGAAACAAATGTTGTAGACCCATGATATATTTTATTTCGAATTCAATGGGACATACTTGCATTAATTGATAAAACGAAATGAAAATGTTGAATTGAAAGCCACTTGGTTACCTTAAATTCATTGTATGAATTTTAAACTTAGCTTTTAGTTTTTTCTCAAACCAAGATTAAAGCAGGTTTGTTTCACCTTTTGTTTCTGAAGCAAGATTTCAAACCATTCTTGGTTGTGTAAATACTCTTATTTCAAAACCAAACATAATACATGCACATTGCAAACTTCCTCAACGAATCATCCCCCAAAAGCGATTCTTCGTTTATGTATCGATGTATCTTATTGACGCACTTTGTATCAATACATTGATATATCGATGTATTGTTACACACCCCTGATTTATATTCATAATTATAAAATATTTAATTTTCGAAAAATTTTTTAAAAGAGAAAATAAAGTCGATTCATAGAGATAGTGCACAAACGCAGAGGTGACCGCATTATATACGAAATTGTCACAAACAATGAGTGGAGATACCTAGGTTGCCATGAAGATCAGAAATCTAGAGTCCCGGAACCAAACATTTCAAAAACAACAAAGTCAGAGAGTGCGAAGGTTAAGTGCAATATGGATTTTTTGCGTTTTTTGTGCATTTTTTGCGTTATCGTTGTACACACTGCGGCAACTCATATAAGAATAAGGAGCAATGGATACGAATTAGTTGTGGTTGCTATACACGACAGTGTCAAAGAAAGCTCACAAGTGCTTACCAATGTAAAGGTATCTATCTAATTTTATCTATGTTAACCCTGAAGTCATTAGTGCAATATAACGTTTCCTCATAATGAAAGTTATTTTTACTGGATTTTTTTTTCACTTTTTAATATTTATCGTAGCATAACATATTCAAGCAAATAATCAAATTAATAAAAGGTATTTTGAAAAGAATTTTTTATTCCATTTTCTAAATTGAATTTAGAGAAAATTATCTTTATATAATGCATTGTAGAACTAGCCTTAACGTTGATTTCAACATTTAACGTTTTGCAGAAAATAATCACAGATGCTTCTAAGGTTTTGTATACTGCCACACGACATCGTGCATTTTTCCGCAAAGTGTTCATATTAATTCCTAGCACTTGGTCCAGTAGTTTGGCGGACCGAGATTCTACTAGTGTCAACCTTCGAGAAGCTGACATTATTTTGACAAATCCCTCCGCCGTGACTAAAAGAAGTTACCGCCGTACCAGAAGCTACGCAGGGTGTGGACACTCAGGAATTCATATTCAGCTCAGGACGGATGTTTTATTGAATAATAATCACCCACTTGTGCAACGCAAACCAGGTACATGTAATTGCATTTTAGTAGATTACTAAATAATGAATATTTACATCATTTTTCATATAAATGAGAGTATGTGTTATATCAGTCGTAAATATCTGACGTTTTCCTAGCTTTTGAACGATTTTAATATTTTTCCTGGCATGTAAAATATCAAAATGTTAAGAAAGCGAAGAAAACGTCAGGTATTTCGGATAGTGTTAAATCTTCTGAACAATACCAAGAGGGGCAAAATGACCAATAATTTAACAGATTTTTTTTTAAAAGGATCTTTTTAGGAGTTAATATACTAGTACAGATATAATGCAGTTTTAGCTTCTAAAATTATTCTTGGTCCTTCTCTGCGTACAACCTGCAACAACCAAGTCTAGGATTAAAACGAAAATTAAGGTGTCTCCTGATATATGAAACTTTTCTCTGTTTTTCATTTCAGAAAAATTCCTGGTCCATGAATTCGCCAAGTATAGATATGGGGTATTCGAAGAGTATCCCAACCCGGGGGAGAACCAGTTTTACTTCTCCACCACCTTTGGGAGGGCGGATCCAGTACGATGTACCATTGGGTTGATCGGAAGAATCGTAAAGAAGACCTCCAGTGGAATGCAGATTTGTACTTATGACACTGTAGATCCCGAAACAGGGGAATTCCCGGAGGGCTGTATCTATTATCCGTACCCCTCTCACAACAAAGGAACTGCGTCCTTTATGGACTACTCGTATATCCAAGAGGTAAACGGCGGACAAAGCAAAAGTGTATCGAACAGAAAGTATTCAACACTAATTAGTATATGTCCTTGGCATAAAAGTGTATTCAGAATAAAATATATCCGGTGAAGTTTGCATGTTTGTTTATCAGATTCCTGATGATTTTTATATGGTGTTTGTAAAACTAATAATTAATGTAGATGTACAGTAATTGACTGTGGTATATGGTGTATGGTGGCTACTGGTATAGTGTTTGTGTTCATTCACATTGTACGTATGTATAAAATTGTATGTGTATTCTTTTAACACTGTATGTATAGTTTATTTAGTGCATGATTTATACAGATATCATCTCTATGACTTCTGTTATACAGTGTCAAAAATGTTGGGATTTTTTACCATCTCTGGTCACCCGATTCTAATAATTTTTGGAGTAATGAGCTGCAGATCCATGGCTTATATTAATGGTGACGTTTTTAGTTCTCTTACCATCTGGCTTTATGATCATATATCTCCCAGACTTATATATACCGGGTATGATTGTCCCTTGATGTGGTATGACATATAACATTGGTATAAATGAGTATTTTTTGTATGAAAGTATCTTTTTAGAAGTTTTTGTTTTACAGATCATGATGTAACTGTTTTAATTTCATATTTCATTTAGTCACATTGGTTAATAAATAATTTCTTCATACATGTTAAAAGAACAATGAAATATACAAAGCTCATCTTATATGTCCAGATACAAGATTTTTGCGATGACGACCACACACCAGGACATTTCAGCCACAACGTGGAGCCACCTAATCGCCAGAACAGACTTTGCAGCCACCGAAGCACGTGGAACGTCATCAGTAACACAGCCGACTTTAAGAGCGCCAATTCTCCGACTTCTCTATCAGACTCCCAGCTGACGCCACAGTTCATCATCTTTAGGGCGCCAAATCGACGGCGGAGACGGTTAGCGGTGGTACTGGATTCTCCACAGGTTAGAAGATTGTAAGGATATGAATATTGAAATATGCTAACTTTTATACTAACATCACAGCTTTGCAACCGTGTCATGGGGTATTGATTGGAAAAGGTGGAAAATCCCTTTCTTGCTATTCAGGTGACAGTTAATGTCCTCATTTCTTACTGTTTCGTATTGATACATGAATAGAATAGCTAACTGAGGTATAAATACGAATAAACTAATTTAAAGGAAGTTATTTTTATATACCAAAAGGAGATTCACAAAAGACTGAGACTTCACCAAGCAGTGGACCATTTTCTCAGTGAGGGATTCAACTCGGATACGAGAGTAGCCATTATACATAACGATGCCAACAGTATGAAACTAAGAAAACTAAGGAACAGGAGATCCTCTGTCATCAAGTCTGTTCTACAAAACATTGACCAGTTCTCTCCTTCAATTTCAAAGACACAGATTCGGATACAAAGAGGCGTGGAGGTAACGTAAAGACCAGATAATTCGCTACAAAATATCATCCATTCTTGACCTTTGAGTTCTGTTGTGTATGAAATATATTTCCTCTCTTAGTTACTTCGGAAAAGTAATTTAACCACTCCCGGGGTGGAACATCATCTGATCTGGATCACTTGTGACAACCAATCATATGTGGAAGAAAAGGACTTTCAGAATCTGGCAGATCTCTATATCACTCCTCATATCATTCACTGTGGTGGTGATGGAATAAAACATTTGGAAGAAGTAACAACACAACAAGGCAAGACGAAGGCTTGAAAAAAATGAAACCTTATTGTAACAAAAATCACAGAATTTCATTTTTCAAGTAATTTCAAATGATTTTTAATCAAACTTTGCAGGTGGTATTGTTGAATCAAAAGGTCATCAATCAATATTCCATGCAATACAGCGTCTTTCGGACAAATTACATGATGAAAAAGACCAGATAGTACAGGTTTGAGATAAAACAAAACTTGTCTTTAAAAACCGTTGCTATTGTTTCTTCCAAAGATGTGATTAAACATGCGATGATAGCATTTAATTTGCTCAAACAATTAAAAATGTTATACGTGAACATTTTTACAATATTACTAAAACACTCAAAAATAGTTGTTTCTAAAAGGCAAATATAATCTTCCGGTTTATCATTATGATATATCGATTTTTATAGATTTCGAATGAGAATCTAGAAATTGACAGAGAAAATACTCACTATGGAAACTTTATACTGGACGAAACCCTTCAAGGAGAATTAGTGATACGGATACATTACAATTTCTCAGCGCCTTCTCTCCGTGTTCTAGCCCCTAACGGCTCAGAATATGAATTACAAACAATCAACATGAAACTGAAATACATTCGGTTGGCTATTCCTATAGCTGACAATGAGGTACGTTTTCTTTTTCCATATTCTTTAAATATAAGCATAATTCTTGATCTCAAAGAGAATTTTTGTATGATTTAATGAATATTTGTTGTTCAAGCATGGGAAATGGTCCTTTGCAATTGATAACAACTCGCCATATAAAGAGTCTGTGCATATGATGGTCATCTTTAGACCCCGGGTGCGGGAGGACGAGACTCCTATTCGAACAAACGCTTGGATAAAAGTGTTTCACGAGTATTTGCCACCGCGTATTGGCGTGTACGCTGAGGTCATGTATGGAGGTCATCCTGTAGTGAATTCGAATGTCACGGCGCATGTGTTCCAAAACAACAGAAAAGTGACTGTTATTTCTTTGAGAGATACTGGTGGTGGTAATGGTTCTTTCTTTTTTTGGAGATATAACATTTTTACTGACCTTGTACACTTATGCTCATCTAGATTGTTTTGTAACTTTTTAAACCATTGATTACAATTGTTGTTGAAATGTTCATTTTGATCGTGATTAAGCTTTTTTGTATACTATCAAAAGCTTTGAGTATTAAGTTTTGAGACTCTTTTCCAGGGGTTGATATAACGAAAGAGGATGGAATTTATTCCAACTTTTTCACGGAAATAGACTCTCAAGGAAACCATTATGTGGAGGTCATAATAGAGGATGATAGCAAAAAATCAGAGATTCACAAAACATACGAAATTCAAATCCCGAGAGAAGAAGGAATCTCCCCAGGTAAAAAGCTGGAAGTTATCAAGTAATGCACTTGGCAAAAGAAAAAAAACCCAGAAATAATAATACCAAAACGTGTAGTCTGCAATCACTGACATATTTTCTTTGATAAAATATATTCTGTGCAGATGACCCTGATGTGTTTCATGCACCAAGACTAGAACATCAAACTGAAAAAGTAAAACTCAAGCATGGTCTGAAAAGATCAACATCCTCGGGACAGTTTGAAATTGATCACCGATGGAATATCAAGCCTCACGCTGACCAGTACCCACCTACCAGAATCATTGACCTAACAGTTGATAAAGTGGACAGGAAAAAAAGATTAGTATACTTGTCTTGGACGGCAACGGGCGATGATTTGGATACTGGACGAGGTTTGTGTCATATATGCAAAGTAATTTCTTACGAAACTCTCGAAAAGTGATATTTGACTCTCAAAATACCGCTATGTTTTTTTGTCAATGAAATATTTTTTTTAGAGTTGAGTTGATCTTGAATTGAAAAATGGTAATCAAACAGATTTTGTATCATATTGCAGCAAGTCATTTGGTCAATGAGAAAATTGTATTTTTTCAGCATCTTTCTATGAAATTCGGTACCACAACAATGCCACAGCACTTCTGCACTCACCCAAAGATGCAGGGTTAGTGAAGGAGGAGGATGTTTTAATGGGGAATTTAGACAGACCAAAAGAGGCTGGTCAAATAGAACATGTAGCTGTGAAGTTTCCGCGGGCGATGAAGTGGGTGGCTGTTATGTTAAGATCGGTTGATAAAAGCCAAAATGTAGGAGACTTCTCTAACATGATAACAACATTCTTCGAGTTGTGAATTGTGAATTAATGACTGTTTGAAACGTCAACAAGAAGGATACAGGACAGCTTTTCTAATCTTGTATACAGTTAATAGTGCTGGTATAAAATGAATTGTTGAACTGAAGGAAAATGCGTAAGAGGAGAAGACATTTTTTTAAAGTGAAAGAGTTTACACCACTACAAGGATCTATATTACACTGTGATACCAGTCTTGTTTTCATCCGTTTTTTCATATCATTTTTTCATGAATGTGAGCGATTTAACATTCTTAAAAATAAATAAAGATTTTTAATAAACTCACCAGATTCTTGGAATGAGTTTAATATCAACCAATTGTTGTACAACAATAAGTAAACAGTATAAAAATATTACAATTTTGATGTTAATACAACTACACCATGACAAAATAGAATACTCACTAGTAAGTTGAATTACACATAAAAATAGCATATAAATTAAAAATGCATTGAGGTGGTGGGATTTGCACTCTTTACTTTTTTAAATATGTTCTTAATAAGTTCTCTCTTTATTTATACAAGGGGTACATGAAAAATTACTCAGTAGGTTTGGTTTATTTGGCATCAATACATTTATTAAAACTAATTTCAACATTGCTTCATCTTCATTTTATTATTTTGTATCTTTAAACCACTCAGTTCTCTTGTACTCCAATCTTTCCCGGCCATATAATGACATCTCTGCTGAGCTTATGATACAGACAGGGTACTGACTTATGGCCACTACTTTCTATAATGTCTGTATCTGTCTCGTATTTATACGCAATTCTACCAGAGACTTTTGTCAGCTCCCCCAGCAGGTCTATTTTCTCAGGCTTCGTGTCCAACGTTTCGTTCAGCTGAGCGATCAGGTTAGTGATCAGCCATCCTCCTTGTTTATCTCTGCTGTAAGCCTCCTTTCCTTTAAAAAGTATATTACTTTTACTTCTATTTAACTTATAAATGTTCTAATAATTCTTGGACTAGTAGCTTTGTTATAAAAATTAATGCTTTAGCAATCCGTAAGCTTCCCCCTTTCAAAACATGTTGCAATCAGTTTGATTTAATTTCAGGGAAAGAAAAACAGTGAAAAACGTCGTTTGGGTTTTCTGATTACAGTAGAATATAATTTTGAAGCTACTTATTTTTAACGGCAAGATAATGGTGCTTTTAACATAAATGAAAACTTTGAATTTGTTAGCACATATATTTTTTTTTTACCTGGAGCAGAGGCAAACATGACTAAAGCATCATTGACACAAGGTGGTGGATCACTTATTACAGGCTCTGGGAAAAAGAAATCCAGAATCTCTTGTTCAAATCCTCGACATTCCTCTCCTAGTTCTTTCACCTGATCATCTGTAAAACCCTCGGTACGTAAAGTTTCTTTGAATTTTAAGGTCTTTTCGTCTGTTTTCCGTTCTTCTTGTGATGAAACTGTGTATTGGTTTGACAGATATGTTTTGTAATCCCAGATATGTTTATGTAGTACTGCAATTTTCCACTGTAAATCAAAATTCAATATTTTTTCTTTAAATTTGGTCAAATTTTTGAAAGTTTGAAATATGTAGAGATAACGAACAGTATTCGAGCTCAAAAGTAGAATAAAAATCACAAAATGCAAATTCATTTTTGCCTTTACTTCCCCTGCCGACCCGCCAAAAGAATAATAACCGGAAAATTTAGAAAATCGAAGTAAATTATCAATTCATGACACTCAAAATAGCAACTACTGTGGAATTCACAGGGACATTTTTTATGAATTGCTGAAATTTAACAGGTTCATGGAAATATTATTTTGTATATTCACTCGTATCTACAATTTAATTAAAGGAAATATTTGACTTGAAATCGTAGCATATTAATTAATGGAGGATGTTAATTCGTGGATGAAGGGTCACACGGTTTTCACGAATATTGAGATTCCACGAAATAAAAAGATTCAGTAGATTACAGTTTTGTTGCTTCTGATTTTAAATGCAATATTTGATATTTGCTTATTATTGTTTGATAATTAAAATACAGACTAACTTTTTCTTGTAATATTTTTCAGCTTAATGCAGCTTTGGCAAATGATACTCAGGGAAACTTATAAATGATAGTTTGAAACATGGGATAATTAATGCATAAATTATCCCACGTTTCCAATATCGTTGATGTCGCTGGCTTACCCAACAAGTAGACAGTGATTCCTTATATTTATATTCAATTGTGAAATAAAATTGTATATATACAGATTTAAAAAATGTCTGATAGATAAAATATTTACGAGGCCCTCTCATGTCAATTTCAATAGTCAGGCTCTGTATAAAGACAGAAGACTTACATGTATATTTAACCTCCTTAACTCCTGACCTTTCACTTGGCGAAATTGAAATTCAGGTTGAATTATCAAGGAATCGACTTACCCAATTTTTAATAGTTATCACAAAGAAGACAATTAGAAATGTAAATATGCGTACAAGGAATCACTGTCTTGTTTAATTTGTTGGTTATGCAAATTCATTTTTGTTATTTTTAAAAGAATACTAAACTAGAATCGATAATAATATCAAGCTTCCCTGCAGATAACCTTATTAGCTCTTCTGAGCCAAAGGCTCAAAGAGCTAATGCTATGGCCATTTGTGAGGTGTGCGTCGTGCGGTGTGTGGTGTGCGTTAACTTTTTAGAATATGTGCCATAACTCAAGAACCCCTTGGCCAATTATTGTCAAATTTGTCACAGGATATCCTTGGCCCAAGGCCTACCATTTATACTAAAACTAGGGGTGGGACCCTAAAACAAGGGGAGATAATCGCGAAAATAAAACCAAAAGTACTGGTTGCTAAAAAATCTTCAGAACCACCAGGCAGATTTTCACCAAACTTACATACAAGGGTGAATATATGTTGAAGATTAAAAATTGTTCAAGGCATGACCCTGGGGCAAAGGGCGTGGTCTCAAGGTCACTTCAAAGTTGACCAAAATTTACACTTATGAAAAACGTTGATATTTTGCTTACTATAAAGACTGGGATCATCAAATTTTCTAAGTTGATTCATCTCAGGACTTGACATCATGTTAATACAAAAGTAGGTCACAGTGACCTACTTTTTAAATTTTACGGGCTTTTGTTTTTAAATTGATTTGGTGGCATATTTTGGACACTTTAAGGCCTATGATCATCAAACTTTGTCAGTTGGTGCATCTTGGGTCCACCAACAACGTCAACTTAAAAGTAGGTCATCGTGACCTACTTTTTGAATTTTATGGCTAATCTTTTCTAAAACATTTAATCTCATTTCAGACACCGAGAGGTTTAGAATCACCAAATCTTGTAAGTTGATGCACTTTGGGGCCTTAAAATATATTTATTAAAAAGTAGGTCACTGTGACCTACTTTTTTGAACTTTGCAGGCCTTTGTTTTCAGATTGTTTAACAGGCATATTTTGAATACTATTAGACATATGATCATCAAATTTTGTCAGTTGATGCATCTTTGGTTCTTCAGAAAATGTCGACCAAAAAGTAGGTCATTGTGACCTACTTTCGACAATTTATGGCTAGATTTAAGGATCTCGGGTACTAATTGGCTTAGAATCATCAAAATTTGTCAGTTGATGCATCTTGGGTTTTCGGAGATTAACGACCAAAAAGTAGGTCACGGTGACCTACTTTTGACATTTTATGGCTAGTTTTATGTATCTCAGGTACTAATTGGCTTAGAATCATCAAACTTTATTTTTACTGCATCTTAAGTTTTTGAAGCATTTTGACCAAAACGTAAGTCACGGTGACCTACTTTTGAATATCAGGTACTGATTGGCTTAGAATCATCAAACTTTGTCAGTAGATGCATCTTGGGTTTTTGGAGAATGTCGACCAAAAAGTATGTCACGGTGACCTACTTTTGACATTTTATGGCTATATTTAGGTATTTCGGGTACTTATTGGTTTAGAATCATCAAACTTTGTTATTTGATGCATCTTGGGTTTTTGGAGAATGATGATAAAAAAAAAAGGTCACAGTGACCTTCTTGTGACATTTATGGCTATATTTAGGTATTCTAGGGTTCTTATTGGCTTCGAATTGTCAAACTTGTCAGTTGATGCACCGTGGGTTTTCAGAGAATGTTGACCAGTAAGTAGGTCACTGTGACCCACTTTTGAATATCTCAGGTACTTATTGGCTTAGAATTATCAATCTTTGTCAATTAATGCATTTTGTGTCCTCAGAAAATTTCAATCAAAAAGTAGGTCACCATGACCTACTTATAGTATATTATAGTTACATTAAAATATCTTCAGCCCTAACTGGCTAAGAATCATCAAACTTTGTCAGTTGATGCATCTTGGGTCTTAGGATAGATTGTTTAATTTATCAGAAGAGCGATTCAAGGCCCTTGGGCCTCTTGTTTTTTGTAGCATCTAGTTTTATTTTGTTCATCTAGTAATACCTCGTGAATCTGTTGTAATCTGACTTTTTGCTCCTCTTCCGTCTGTCTGATTGTACTTCGCTTGGCGTCTGATTTATCCAGTTGTTGGGGTTCTCCAGGGGGATCCTTCGAGTCAGGTCTCTCAGGTTCCTGCATATTAACAATCTCTTCCGCTGGGGTAAACACATTTACCAATACTCCAGGATCAAAATTTTTATTACCATCTAATCCAAAGCGGCTTCTGCATGCCTGAAGTAATTTAATATCAGAGAAACTTATTTGATAAGAGAAACTTGTTTATGAAAGTCTTGTGAATCAGATTGTAGTTAAAAATAAATGTTCATATAACATCAAATACTGATCCTTAAAAGAGTTTACTAACTCTTAGCCTTAACTTGCTTAAAACGACACATAAAACTCGTACCATTTACAGAAATAAGCCCCCTACCTAAAAAATATATGAAAAAGTGTCTTACTAAAAATAACACAAGTGATTGAAGTGAAATTTAGAGAATAAATAATTACCTGAATAAAGAAAAAACAGGGTTTGTTTTTAAGAGCTGGACAACTGTGATGGTCAAACATTTTGATAATGTCCTTGGTTAAAAGAGACTTTCCATTTTTGAAGAAAAGCTGATGCACCATTTCCGTCTTTGAATATTCTTTTTGCATGTTTCCAAATGGATGGCGTTCGTTTGGCTTGTCCTCTTTTATTACCATAGGTACTTCCTGTCCGTGAGTACTGATTACCAGTACGAAATAGCTGGGGTTCATTCTCTTACACCTTTCGATTCCTACAGAGTAACAGAGTATATCAGAATGATATATTTATCATGCAAAATATAAAATTATAAAATTATATATATATCTTACCTTCTTTTAAAAATTCAAGTGCCTCTTGGTCTGTTGGATTTGTTTTCCTTTCGAAAGTGCACCCAAGACGTTCAAAAGTTCCTTGAATCTTTGTGTATTCTATATGTGCAGAATGTCTATTCTCTAAAGATATTTCGGAATCCTCTATATCAAATTCTAGTACTCCAATATAAAGACACAACCCAGGGCTATTAAAAGGATAAACATTGTCTTCAGCTCCATCTTCTGTCTCTGGGGAAGGAAAATTAGATTTGTATTTACAACATTAATTATATATTGCATTGAACATTATATTTTCTGGGTAATATATCTTGCCAGTCTCATTTGTAAAAGTTAAAACTGATCAATACAACCTTTTCTGTTGTTCATGATTTTAAATTTTGACGGAAGAAATTTTTCTTTCATAATTTTGTTCAGAAAAATTTAAATATGAAATACACGTTATAAAAAAACAGTTTGAAATAAATAATGATGAATTTTCCTACTTGCTTAGCTGATGCTACTCACTCTTTGGCAGTGGTAGTTCCAAATGATCTGTTGTTGGAGGGGGACTCGTTAAAAAGTTTTGTGCAAGATTCGTGTTAGGAAATCCTTTTCTTTTAATCTCGTCAAAAATTTGTCCTGCTAATCTTTCATAAGTATCTGGTGTGTTTTCAATCAAAGAAAGAAGCATGTGACGCGATTTGTGTTTGTGACTTTTTATAGGCGGATATTCCGTTAGGTGCTCATCATTGATGACGAATAGTTCAGTACACGTTGGTTTGGGAAAGAACTTCTCTTGTAATGCCTGACTGATATTACAGCCAACAAACAAAATACTCTCGATTTGAAATCTATCAATGTCATCCTCTTCTTCATCGTCAAGCAGTTCTATTTGGAAAAATTAATATTATTCATACACATCCCCCCTTTTGTGCTCGCGTAGTTAAAAAAAAATCGAAATTAGCTATGAAAAAGAGAAAAACATGTAATTCCTTAAAACACTGACGTATAACAAGTCCTCTTCTTAAACGTCAAATGTTTTTAATAGCGAGTGTTTAAATTAACATAATAAATAATTTCTCCAAATCAGTCTGCATTATAAAAAAGCTGTTACAGTTTATAAAATTTAAAAAAAAAACACCACAAACATAAACATTTTAACTTCATTTGTTTCTGAATCCACTGACTTTGACCCTGAGTTAAGGAAGGATAATACACTTTGAATAAATATTCGCGGCTTCTAATGGTAAGCTGATGGGTCACAAAGTTATGTAACAGCGATATACAGACCAAAAAAACCAATATGTTGGAGACATAAAAGTGAAAACGCTTAACTACTGTATACAGGAAAATTTTCGCCCCCGTTTAATTTTCGCCCCTTTCGCCCTCGTTGGAAGTGGGCGAATTTAAAACGGGGCGATTTCAAAGTAAACAGTATAATATCTTAAACAAAAATCTTTCTGGGCGAATTTAAAACGGGGCAAACTTGTTTCCGAATATATAAAGGGCGAAAATAACATGAAAAATTTATACAGTATACCCTCTAGTTTATTGTGGATTTTCTTTGAACCCTCATTCCACAATATGTCCCAATAAACGTTGTCTATAATGGCTACTAGAGACTTGCATCTTTTGAGACTTTCACCAAATCTCCTTCCAATGGAAATAAGTTTCTTCTCTGAAAGGTATGCATAGTATTATTTACCAATTCATGAAAGTTTAGCTCTATGAACTGCTGTAAAAATCCATAATCTTTACCAATAATGTGTGTGTTTAGTTGTGTAGAGGGTCATAAGAAATTGAAAATATGCCTGAAAACGCTTTTGAAGAGCAAAGGAACAGCATTTTTTTTTCAAATCCTGGAGGAAGAATAAAAAAAAGCTTATTAATGCAAATATTACTGTTTAATATGAAAGATTCCTCGATTCCTGCGTCAACCACGTACTCCTTCCCGACTTTACTGGTGAAATCCTCTATTAAACATTGTAACGTGCTTTTATTCCTTACATAAAGTAAACCTGAATGGAGAAGACATAAAGCTAGAAATTAAATCAAATATGATATTAATATTATTTTAAAGCGGCACAGTGACGCACATAGGGGAAAATTGACAAATGTAGAAATTTTGCATGACCTCTGTAAATTTTGTTCAATTCCTAAAAGTATTAAGTTTCAGAAAATATTACAGGTTTCAGGACCTAAAAATTATATTTTTATGGGGAAAAATAAAAGTAAAAATAATTTATGTCTGCCCTAGAACGAAAATATTGCAAAATACCCTGGTACTTCTTCTTCCTATTGTACGCGTGCGCAGAAAAGTGTTGAATAAGTTTCCATAGTTACCAAGATCTCAGGTATCCACGAATGAATGTAAGAAGACCAAAAAAAAATTGATTTAATCTTTTAAAAAGTTTTTAGAACATATTTCTCACCTTTGCATGCTCCAGTTGAATGTTGTTTGAGCTAAAAATAAGAGTTGCGTGACCTTGACATACCGGTACACGAAATAACAAACAGTAGATACAACCTTTGTTTTTCCGGCACTTATATTGTGCAGTCAATTCTTGCAGTTTAATTGTCATATCTTCGCTATATACTCATAATTTTCATAAGTCTTTCTCTGACAGTATGCTATAGATATCTTAAAATTAAGATATGATTTTGACTCATTGTGTCCTTTTAAAAATGCCTTTATTGATGGTATTAAGAGCCAAATGCATGGAGAAAACACGACGATAGTGTGACAGTGTTTACATATATATGACTAATAGCACAACATTAATATTTTTATCGGCGTTTTACTTTACAACACATTAAACAACGGTAATGAAAAAACTGTTGATTAATGACACGGCAAGGCTTATCAAGATTGAATTGATTGAGGCATTTAATAACTGGCAGAATATTTGTACATTAATTCCATACAAAATTATTGTAGACTAAATTGTCACTCCAGATTCTTAAAGGAGTCCTTCGGGTGAGACCGTATAAACCGAGGTCCTGTGTCGCAGATCCCTCTTTGCTCAGTGGACTCGGGTGCCGATTATAGGTATAAATTTTCAGTCCTACACCGACGAACGGTGGCGTTAAATTATCGAGCGGGATCGACGTAAAACAACAAACAAAACAAAACACCAACTTACCTATTTTATCTGTCATTTTTCTCTGTAGGCAATACTATTTTCTCGTTTTCCCCCTGAGGAAGTTAATAGTGGATCTAGGAAGTACATAAGTACTTTCATACGCATTTTAACTTACACAAAATCAAACTGAAAATTTGATAATTTCCGGGAAAACATGCAAATAAATTGTACAGAAATAACTTTGACCAGGATTTGCCTGCTATACTCTTATCTCATCTGTGGGAAAAATTGCTAGCATAAATTCTGAACCAGGAACGACATGGGATAAAAAATATTGAATACAGTGCTACATATTATGGCAGGCGGAAATATAGGAGTAAAATAGCCATCTGCAAATTCATCGAATTCTTTTATTTTAAAGCTATATATGTCGAATTAAAGCTAAAAAATAAATGTGCGAGATTAAGTACATGTATATACTCGTATGTACATGATATTTGTTGTTTATATTCAAACTCAAGTCTGCAACTCGCTGTCTATTATCACTCGGTAATTCATCTAAGACTGAATTCCGCACACTTTTACTTTCAGTTTCTACTTCCTCAAACACTCTAGCTTCCGCATCCGCAATTGCTGCTGTACACGTTTGATCCAGAATTTGAATTTGTCCTTCGATTTTTGACTTCTCTGTTTGGAGGTCCACTTGTTTCCTTATAAACGCTAATTTAGTTTTTTCTGCTTCTGCCTTCTGACGTAAGTGAACACGTTGAGACCTTGACGTTCCGCTGACAGAACTTCTCGTATGAGATCGAGATCCTTCCGAACCACTTGCTCTTGATATGGTGTCGGCTGCTTCCAGCAGGGCATCCTCGATTCTGTTTATGAGTTGGTCTATGACTTGAGAACGTTTCTTGAACCTTGGTTCTTGGACAGAATATTCTTCAATGCTTTCTCTTGTGTTTGTTCTTTTAAGAAAAGACATAAATTCACTTGCACATTCGGAATAAGTAAGTTTAAGTTGTTGAACTTCTGCTTTAAGTTTACTTAAGTCTTTGAAATTTTTCTGATCTATATTTTCATCTATGTCAACTAACACTTCTTCAATCATTGACCATGCCTTTTGTTCCTGAGAACTATATCTCTTGAGAAATGTAAAAAATTGTTCCATGCCTTTTTCCGTCCTTGTTTTGAGTCTTTTTTCCTCACCTTCCTCTGTAAGGAGTGTCTCTTTTTCACTTTCGCTCGCATGGACTGTGGGTTTTCCTTCAGCACATTCCTCTGCAAGAAGTGGCTCTTTCTCGCTTTCGCTCGCACCGACTATGGGTTTTCCTTCAGCATCCATACTGATAATAATAAAGATCAATAACTTTTCTTTCTATGTACAAATGCACTGACCAAAATAATATGCTATTGAGAAAATAATCTGACACCAACTGATCACAAAAAAAAAAAGTTTGACAATATTATGTGGTGTCGATACTGAGCATGATCAATCTATATTGTCTATATTATTGTTCAGTTCAAACAATGTCAGTATAATGTTATACATAAAATTACTGATATGACACAAATGAGATCAGTCTTTTGCACATATACACACAGTGTCCAGGAACACTAAAACTACCACGAAGATCCAGCGTAAATTTGGGTCGAAGAGGGGGTTGTCAGTTGGAAGTCCCAGCTTCACTGGCATTCGACATCCACCAGAATGACCAGAAAGTCGTCCATCGTCAGGATTGGTTACAATCAGGATGGTTGAGGTGGTAAATAAACGATTTGTTACTGTTCTGCCACAGGGTTTGAAGGAAAACGCCCAGCAGTTTTCATAAGTATTTATTGAACTTGTAGCATGATGACGTATTACGACGTTACGGTAACAACTGAAATAACAAAACAATATTTTGACTTACAATAAGAAAATTTAGAATTCACACACATACAACATCTTACACACTATGCCAAAAAATCCTAGTCAAAGTTTTCCGAAAAATGATAGAAAATAATTTTATACACATACAAACAAACTCTACAAATAAGAAAAAACACATACATCGTTGCGCCTTTGCACCACGGAACCAGTGAGCGTCCCAGACGCTGTTGGGGGAAAATGTAGATGGACTGCGACCCAGTCGCACGGGAAAAAATGTCTACCCCAAACAGTTTAACGTAAACCGGAAGAAGACAGCGCAGGATAAATGACGAACCAAAAACGGCACTGAGAATTCCGGTGGCGTCACACCAACTTTGAACTTAAATTTCCGAACGTCTCTTTAATTAATTAAATTGACTTTAATCTGTGTCTGATATTTAAATGCGGAGTCGGTATATAAATCGATTATTGTTTTAAATCTCGGATATCTATTAATCGCGATTGATTTAAATCGTGTAATTTACAGGAGACTCCTATCTTCATGTAAAGTAACAAAACAAATAGAAAGATCTTTTAAATTCTAGTTAGGCTGAACTCATAAAAAATATGCCATATACGGCTTTAAACTTATATTAGTTTTTCCAGGATGTTTAAGCAAACCTGGAACACTCGGTTAAGACAAATGTAATGTATTTAGCATTGGTGTCCGAAATAGTTTGTCTATTTATTTTGTGACAGACTCATGTTTTTTTTATATTATGCACATGTGCATAGCAATGCATATTGCATGTGCATCTATTAATTAATTTAATTATATATGTTTTTACTTGCAGCACACTTCTACAGCTGAATTATATAATTATTCATTTAACCTGTAGTTAAGTGTATTGATTTTTAAATTATTGCTTTCCAGAGAGGTCCAGAGTTGAATGGTTGAAATGTATAAGGGATATCTTGAATTCCTGTGGCCTGTCTTATATCTGGATAAATCAAAATTTCATTAGTGTTACATGGTTAAAATCTATTGTGAAAGAAACGTTGTTAAATCAATTCTTACAAGACTGGCATATGAACATAGAAAATTCACCTAAATGTTTAAATTACAGGATTTTCAAAAACAATTTTGGACGAGAAATTTACTTAAATAAACTCCCAAAAGACTTAAGAATTGTATTAACAAAATTTAGAACTTGTAACCACAAACTCCCAGTCGAATCAGGTAGATGGACTAATACTGATAGATCTTTAAGATTATGTAATTTATGTAACAAAAATACTTTGGGGGATGAATTTCACTATATTATGGAGTGTCCATATTTTTTGTCTTTACGTGTAAAACTTATTGATAAGAAGTATTGTTTTCATGTAAATACCTATAAATTTGAGAAAATTATGTCCATCACAAATGTTGATTCACTGTTTAAACTGTCTCTGTTTGCTAAAAAGATATTGGCCTGCTTTTAGTAACTATTTAGTTGATACTACTCTTCCTCACTTGACTTTGTATTTTGTATATAATTATGTAAATATGTTCCTGTACCTCATATACCATTGTATGGTCTGAGTGTAAATAAACAAACAAAAGAGTTAGCCTCAGGGCGCTAATTATTTTCTGGCCATGGTCATTTTGTATCTTTTAGTTTCATTGGTTTTTTAGTGTTGTCTCATGTTTTTCTATTGGTTTTTGTGTTTCTCTCCAAGTTTTCTTTGTGTTTTTGGTTAATTCTTGCTTGGTCTTGGAAGGTGATGGAAGTATAGTCTAGCCATTGAATTTACATATTTTATACATAAGACATTTGACATAGAGACCGACATTTCCTCTTGCATGGTAAGTTATTCTTTCAGACTAATAAGTAATAAGATTCTAATTCTATTAAATGTGAAATCTGTAATTTTTGCACTGAATTCCTAATCACTTTTTCTGGAGTAAATGTTTAATGAGGGTGAGACTTTATATATAGAGTCATGTGTTAATAGTAAATACATTGCTGTCTCACTTTTTCATATTTTTTATTGTAAACTTTATTTTGTGATTAGTGTAGATATCTACAAAGACGTTTATTGTTGATTTGTAGATATTTCAGATATTGTCCTATTATTAGCTGTCCTGTGTACATGCAACTTATATACTGTTGAATATGACCCATTCCCATTGAATGGTATGAATGTTAATTGTTTTTATGCCGAACAATAATTCATTATGTATATATACATTGGAATGATAATTATTGTAAAGATTTTATTGTTAATATTCATTGATTAAAGCAATGGGAGATTTTATTATGTAATTTTCATGTAATTGGATTATCTCCTTTGATTTTGATAAAGCTAAATAATATATTGATGGTACATGTATATTGATTAATAGCTTTATAGTTTTTATACTATTTATTTATTATTTGTTATTTTATTATAGGGTTTTGATGACTACTATTTTACTGATCCATCGTTATAAAAGATAACGTCTTGTCAACTCGAACCAACAGCATTATTGTCTATCATATAACACCATCACAAGTCTGTTACAATTTGGACTGTATATTAAGAACTGATTTCCTAAATTTTATGAAGAAACATGTTATATAGCCAAGAAAGGCTCAAAGGTGCTTTGCATATAAAAATTTGAAAACTACAACCGAGGAACAATAGCTTGCTGTTTCGGGGCGTAAACGAAGTCTTAACTTCTACACAGTTATAGGGCTAAAAAGCTGCTCCTATCGAGAACGAATTCTAGCGATGTGTAGAGAAAGGAGTATAAGGTTGATCCCAGAAAAAAACAAGATACTTTTTTAATTAGTACATCGCATAATGACGCATATCCAGTACGTTGGTCGAAAAAAAACATGCAAGGGATCTACATAATGTATAGCTTGATGAAACATTAAAACCGTAAAACGCACATTTAAAAAAAAAAAAAAATTGTTTCCTTTATTACATATTCCATTTCTTTCACGTTCAAAAAAAAATATCCATGCTAAAACTGTCAAAAATGTTTTAAATTCTTTATTTAATTAAACGGTTATTGACTTTTGAATTCGGTTTACTCGTGACTTAACGGACCTGATCTGGTATTAGTTGCCATCGGCCTTTGTAAACCAATACCTGACCAAGTCCGTATATAGTCCCAAGTAGACCTCATCAAAAGTCAATAATTGTATAATACAGACATAAAATTATGGTCACATATAATGATGTTTATATAAATAACATGTGCAAAGAGTGTAGTCAACATTAAAAATGACTTAATTAATAAACACTCAATTTTATTGTCATTTAACAATTTCACTACGAAAGACCTTCACTAAGACACCTGGTAAATGTGTCATACAGATGAAGAGATCAAAACTTGAACATTTGAATAATTAAAACATGACATAGTTTTCTCCATTTGGTAAATGTAGAACAATCAAATGTTATCAGGAAAAAAAATAACTGTTCATGTAGACGTTATAATGAGTTCATTTATAAGATCAGACCTTGAGCAATGAAAACAGTTATATATGTATTTGTCAATTAAACACTCTTTTGTACCAAGTAAAAATTCTTAACATTCTGCGCTTATGAAAAATAATAATAACAGATAGAAAGAGAGAGGTATGTTCTGATATATATGTAAAGACTTGCAATCATTAAACTTCATTTTTTCTTGTCAACATACAATATCACAGTACAAAAAACCTATTACTAACACATACCTGTATCAAGAGCATGGAGAATGAGATATAAAAACTTAAAATAAAATACTATTAGATAACAGGGAGCTCTGTTTTAAAGGGTTATACTGAATCAGCAAATGTTACCAGGAAAATCAATACTAATACGTAATAATGACAATATAAGATCATTTATGATGTCAGACATTGAGCAAGAAAATCAGTCATGTATATGCTAGTCTTACGCTTCTTTTGGCTTAACATCTCTGTTTATTTGATTGAACTGAAAAATAAAATTATCGTCAATTTAAATTATAAGGAGTGGGTAATTGAAAAAAAAAAACAATTTTACAAGACAGATATCAATATTTCAGATAAAATTTTAGATTTACATTTCAAAGTGTTTAATTGCTGTCAATCCACTTCAAAAAGTCCTTTAACTTCTCATCTTTCTCATAAGTATTTTTCACCGCCCTTATCTTCTTTGGCCAAATAACGGCATCTTTACTGAGTCTATGGTACAGACAAGGTACAGACTTATGCCCGCTGCTCTCACTGGCGTATGTATCTGTCTCGTATTTATAAGCCACTCTCCAGGAGACCTTTGTAAGCTCCGCCAGGAGATCAACTTTTTCTGGGTCTGTTTCCAATGTTTCTTTAAGCTGAGTCTCTAGATTTTTTATCAGCCAGCCTCCTTGATTATCTCTGTTATACGCCTCCTTTCCTGTATTTAAAAGTGCAAGTTTCATGTATTCTGCTATAGCATATTATCTATTGATTACTGTTGGCTGTAACGCGTCATTTGATTGGATAAAAATTAGTTTATGTCTTCACCTTTAACCTTTATTGCCTTTGTTACAATAAGTAACGTCAAAAACGTTTCAATCCGCCTGAAATTGCTTTAAAAATGTTCAATTTGGTGTATTTAAGGTAAACTTATCTCATTTTCTACACTCTTCATAATGGAAAATTAAATCATAAGAAATAAATTTAATACTCAGTAACTACCCAGGTTACTAGTATACTGAAGTAACTGGGTTGGTGTTGCTATAAAAATTCGTTCCTAATGAAACATAAACAACGTACATAAATACGACTAAATATAATCTGTTCTTTAAAAGATTTTTTCAGATTTTTCCCAAAATATCTCAATACAAAACACATATCCCTACTTTGACCCCACTCTTCCCATTGAGGGATGATTTAAAGAATCTGAATTCACATTGCATTAGGATGTTGGTATATTATAAATCATGTTCTTATTGTTTTTGAGAAGAAATTCAACTTTTAGTTTAAAATTTATCGAATAAGTTTATTAACTTTTTGTTAACCCTTGTTTTAATCAAATTCATGTTCTGGTGATAATCTACAGGTGGTAAAGATTTTTTTTACCGTGATATGGAAAACCTTTGCCGTTGCTATTATAGTATTTTACTGTAAATTATAATTGTATCTATTGTACACTTTAAAAATTCGTTAAAAATGTCTACTTATATGGTATATCCTACCTGGAGCAGAGGCAAACATGACTAACGTATCATTGACACAGGGTGGTGGATCACATATAATAGGCTCCGGGAAAAAGAAATCCAGAATCTCTTGTTCATATCCTTGACATTCCTTTTTAATTTTTGTAACCTGGTCAGTTGAGAGGCCTTCTGCAAGTAAAGTCTCGGATAAATGAGTGGCCATCTTGTCATTTGTTTTCTGTGCTTCATGTGTTAAGGTGGGTGGATTAACCTTCACAAGAAATGCTGTGTAGTTCAAAATTTTGGTGTAAAGTTTTTCCTTTTCAAGCCACTGTAAAAGAAATGTCAATTTCTTTTAAATTGGTTCTCACAATCAACTGAAAATATAAAAACGAATTAAGAAACTCAATACCTCACTATAAAACAATTAATTGCTTAGTTTATTTCATAACTAAGGTTCCCACAGGAATTTAATTTTTTTTATCTTTGTTTTAAAGTCTTAGAGACAACTTACTATATTACCTTTAAGTGTATTTCTGTATTGTCATATATAATGCCAACGTAAGATTACAATTTTTAAAAAAAAATCATTTATTTAACAGTTTACTCTTATACTTGCCTCCTGGATTTGCTTTATCCTGGCCTCTTTATCTTCCTCTGTTTGCTTTCTGGTACTTTTCTTGGCATCTGTTGTATCCTGATGCGAGGTAACTCCCGAGGCTTCTACAGAATCAGGGTTTTCTGTACCAGCCCTGATATCATTTTTTTCAGTCAATACATTGACCATCACCCCAGGATCAAAGTTCGTATGTTCATGTAAATCAAATCGGCTTCTGCATGACTAAAAGTATACAAATGCCTTAAAAAATTCTACATAACTCAAATATTTCTAAATCAATACCAGAATTTTGGTATCTTGGAATTTTTTCTGTTTAGCCATATAGAACAGGGGTGAATTTGATCGATCATATACATGCAGGTGCATTTAATTAAAAAACACTTAAGTTTTAAACAGATAATCTATTACCTGAATGAAATAAAAACAGGGTTTTCCTTTAAGAGCTGGACATTTGCGTCGGTCAAACATTCTGACAATGTCTCTGGTAAAAAGAGACGTTCCATCTTGGAAGAACAACTGATGTACCCTTTCAGTCCTGTTTATCTTTTGACCCGTGATTCCAGATGGGTGCTGCTCAGTTGACTCTGACTTGTCCTCTTTTATAGCAATGGATACCTCTTGTCCGTGTGTACTGATAATCAGCACAACGTAGCTTGGGTTCAGTTTTCCACACCATTTAATTGCTGTAGCATTTCATAAATATTTAAGAAAATTATACTGAAGAAGATTTTATGGCTGTTAAAAAATAATGCCCCAAAAATCAAAATAAAGTAACTCTAACCTTCTTGTAAAAATTCTTCTGTTTGTTGAGCAGTTGGATTCAGTTTCTTTTTTACAAAACATCCAAGTTCTTCAAAACAATTCCTCACTATTTTAAGTTCGTGTGCTGAAGGACGCCTATGCTGTAATGATATAGCAGCTTCCTTAGACTCGAATTCAAAAACACCAATGTAAAGACAGAGTCCTGGACTTTCAAGGGGATAGGCGTTTCCATTTTCGTGTTTTTCACCAGAGTACGTCGCGTTGACATTTATTCTAAGCAAAATAAGATATGCATATAATATAGATCCATGCAGCTGCGTAACAATGGTTGAAACTGCGAAGTGTTTATTCAATACATAAAAGTTCTTTTTTTAAATATTAAAAAGAATTCTGAAGAAATAAGTAAATTGAAGTCTAAAAAGTTACGATTGAATAAAAACAAACATACTTATCACCAGAATCTGTTAAGTTTTCATCTTCATCCGTTGTGTTTAAATAAAAGCATGGAGCTTGTTTGTGATCTTCCACAATTTCCATTTTTGGAAACTTTGGTTCTATGCTATGTATTGGAGTCTGTACAGGGGTGACCGTATCTACCTGATCCTTTGAGGTATTATAGCAAATAAGTTTGTTGAATTTGTCCACAATATCCTTGGCTAATCTTTTGATGATGTCTGGAGTGTTGTTGTCCATAGATACAACCATGTGATATACTTTTGATTCATGCCTCATGTATTCTTCTTTTTCACCTCTCTCAGTGACTTTTGGGGCAAAAGAAGGAAAACAGGCCGGAAGGAGAAGATGGTTTATGTTACAAACCACAACCAAAATGAAGTCAATTCCTTCATCTTCTTCATCATCACCCAACAGCTCTGATTAAAACAAATTAAAATAAAACTGACTCAAAAGAATAACCCAGCAGTGCAACTAATAACACCATGACCAATGAAATTCTTGCAAGGGAATTCATTTGAGGAGATAATGTCCTTTAAGTCGTTTCATATCCTTTTAATCTTTTATTTGTCTTAAATTAACGAGTATTTATAGGACATAGTCCATTTTCTTTCCACTGGCAGCCAAAGAGGAAGTTTCTTTGTTAATGTCGTTTAACGTCCCTCTCGAAAAATTCACTCATATGGAAACGCCACCACTTGTCGGTGGAGAGCTGCAAATTTTGACCTTTACTCGGCACTCATGGCACTCAAAGTCATTGAGCAGTATTTTTTTTTCTTTACTTCGACACGGGACAACGGTCTATACATTCTCATCCGAAAGACTGGTGACCACGTCCCGCAGTAGGATTCGAACCCACGACGTAAAGATCAACTCCTCACTCCACTACTCCAAAGCAGACTCTCTTTATCACTACGTCACGCGGCCGCCCAAAAAGGAAAGTCAGGTGAGGTTACATTATGCAACTGAACCATTCATTTTAAGTTATCTAACATTATTTTCATATATGATTTTAAAATTGAATATAAAATTATCTGAACATATCTATTTTATCTCATTAAAAAATTACTCATGATGAATATGGCAAATGATTTTATTTTTACCTTCTAATTTGTTTTGGATTTTATTTGATGGCTCTTTCCAAAATGTGTCCCAGAAAACATTGTCTGTTATGACAATCAGGGATGATGCTGACTCAAGATCCCGACCAAAGGTCCTTGCAACTGATGTGAGTTTTCCTGAAAGATATCTTTTTTGATTTTCTAATTATTCGATTAGCGCATACCTTTATTAATTAACTAAAGTCCGATCTCATTCAAAATTGTTCTGAAATTATTATTGTCTTAAATATGTTTTTATTTTCATTGAAAGTCACTCATACTTTAATTAAATTATTTTAGATTTGTTTGTAAATCTGAGTCAATCAGATAATTACCTGATTTTATCTTTCCCTCATCAATGCCAGCATCAACCAATCTTTGCTTTTCCTCAATTAGGGATTTTATTTCATGCGATAGCGGTTTTAATGTTTTGGTGTTCTTAACGTAAAGTAACCCTAACAAATATCAAAGTAAAAATTCAGAATCTTAATCTAAATCTAAAGTTAAAACTTGAATGAATACTGTTAAAATTATTAAACTTTTTTTAAATGACTGTGAACTTCAACAAGGGGTCAATATCCCTGACGGACAGCTGAATTTCATGGGTTTCTGAGAAGATATAACCAAATCGAAATTCATTCCCAGCTGAAATTAGAACTCTTAACCCTAGCTTTTATAATTAATGAGGAATATTTTTTAAAAAATATGAAATTCTCAATTGTTTTCCCCCAGCATCTACCCAAATATAAGTAGTTGAAATTACTAGTATTCAGTTGTTGCAGAAAAGAAACTGAAAATATAGCTGATATACAACTAACACGACAATAGAAAAATGGACTGTTGCAAGTGTCAGGTGTTCTGAAAATAGGTGCTTATTGATACAATTAACAAACAAAATAGGTTTTTAAAATTTTGAAAAATAAATGAAAGTTCAAAAATGTAAAATAGCTTTGGAATATATATATACAATGTATATATATATATATATATATATATATATATATATATATATATATATATATATATATATATATATATATATATATATATATATATATATATATTCTTCATTGTATTCTCCTTTATAACTTACCTATTTCCCCTTTCATATTGTTTTTGGTAAATGACTACTTTCTTTTTATTATTTACCTACAAAGTTTTCATATATTTAAGGTATATTATGTCACTAGTTACTAAATTTAGTATAGATAAAGTCGGTATGATTAAAGATAATACCTCTACTCTTTTTTTCTATTTTTAAATAGTACTAGTAATCGGACTGGATAAAAGCCAAATGCTAAAAACAAAATCTTCCTCAAAGCTCAAAGAGAATGTCTTACTGTATGTAGGAAACAAAATAATTAGGTCTGAGGATAACTGTAAAAAAATGCTTTTACTGATTTCACAAGATTTATCATAATCCAAAAATGTTAATATAATTAATATTAAAAGTTTTTTTTTTATATAAATTGTGTTTTTAAGCGGCAGATATCATTGCAAGGAAGATTTTATCATTGAATTTTTTAATGTGGTACATGTACTTTTGTGGTTATATCCCTTAGGGTAGGCTAATTCTTGGAAAATTACCGTTTGGTAAGGCTGAGACGCATAGAGTTGGCATAATTATTCTTAAATTATTTTGAAAAATTCAATGTTTTTAATTAGCTACACAATTTTACGAAAACACCTGAAAAAATTTTGCCTTAAAGTCGTATTTGGGTACCTCGTCTACCTTGATAAGCGTGGCGCAATGGTCTAACGTTCACTTTCATCGCAGGTTAAAGAATTGATCCTTTGTACTTCGCGGATTCGAATTTCACTGCGTGCCGTGCATAAAACTTCGACGAGCTCACTTTGATCTCTATATTTTTCTTTTGTTAGAGTGAAACTGAGATCAAAAGTGAGCTTTTGTGTTTTATGGCCTCCAGGCAAGTCCTACAGGTACCATAAAGCGGTTTTATGGCGGGTGTAAAATTTGGCGTTTTGCTTGCTCATAGGTATGCCATCAATTTTGGCGTCATTTATTTAAGCGGATAGAGTGATCCATCTCTTTGCAGATGAACACTAAGAAGAGTACTGACTATTTTAGCGATTAAAATTTTAGCAGGCTACCATCAAAACGTCAAAATAAGCCAAAATAAGCACCCCGCTAAAATACCCCGCTATATGGTATGACCGTACAGACCAAAGTGCCGTGTCACACTAGTTTCTGGAACAAAAAGCACTGAGCACAAGTCTAATTTGCAGCCCTTCATCGGCAAGCGGTTGCATCTAAAATGAGTAAAAAATCAACAATAGGTCATTACTGAATAAACAAAGAAACGTTACTCTGAACCACATTTTTAACTCAATGAATCTAACATCAAACAAAAACTACTCATTTGAGCAGGAGTGAGTTTTCATTATTTCATTTACGTATTAGGTATAATGCTATGGATAATTAAAGAATAATATTTCACATAAAACAACCATTAATTCAACTGAATATATCATTTAATGTATATATAGAGAGCATAAAATGTCAATGGAATTAATAGTTTATTAAAATAATACCAAGGTATAATATGATCACAGACAGATATAAAAATAACAATGTATTACAGGAGGGAAGTTACCCTAAGAGTGATAATTAAGATTGATTAATAAAATCAATCACATTCTTTCATTATTCATTAATACTTCTATCATTATAGCAGATCTGAATCATGCACATGATAAGTACTTGGAACAGTCAAATAATAAGCCATTTACATGTATTGCCCAGGCGACAAACATGATTTTATTGAGAAAAAATTAATGGCTTAGATATTACTTGATAAAAAAAATAGTACCTTAAAGTTCCATAGACATTGAAATACAAATTAAATAAAACAAATAATTAGCTTTACGTATATTTGTTTGACCCGAAGAACTCAAAATATCGTAATAGAAAATTCATCAAAGTATTTCTACATACAATATTTACATCCACTGAAAATTTTCTCCTTTATTTATTAAGAAAACCCATTGCGTTAATCACTGCATGAACTACATCAGGCATGTCGCCAGTACAGATTTCTTGATCAGTGGCTGTTCCATCATTGAAACGTATAAAGACATTCGCATCATTAATACAATAATTAATCTTTTTAATCCTACTATAAATGATTAATTAAACAGATATAAATATAAACAATAAAATGGCTTTCTTTGTTTATTATTACTGGAATTAACGGTCGCAGCTATTGCAGAAAAAAATTACATAACCCGTTTACGCGGGTTATGTATTTTTTCTGCAACAGCTGCTTCCGTTAATTCCAGTAATAACAAACAAAGAATGCATTTTATTGTTTAAATGAACCGACAAATAAGGAGGAAATAAATAGTAAAATCACAATAAAGTTGCAAATGATTCTTCTATCTAAAACGAAAGAGTCATAAAAACCTAAATCATAATAAGGCATGGAATATATCATAAATCTGCATCTAGTAACAAAAATACAGATCTAACTAGTAGTACTTATATGGCAAATTGGATTCAAATTTATGAGATCAAACCTTGAGCAAGAAAGAACACGGCTAAGAATATTCTTCTCTATCATCCCTGAAAGTTTAAGAGAAAATCTATCAAACCACCCATGGAAAAAAGTTCCAACAAAAAGGAGGGGGAATGCAAAATGTTTTCATCTGAAAGAAAAGATCTTAATTATAACTACACATGGAATAAATAACCAGTGAGCAAATTGTAACAGAAAACAGTTGTTATTACCATACTACATACTAGTATATGTCATATTATGAGATCACTTCTGGAGCAAGAAAAGCAGTCATGCATTTGTCTTATGGCTTTATGTGTACTCCCTTGCTGACTTTACTCCTGTTTGTTTGAAAAGTAATCACTATATGACACATTATTGATATGGGAATAATATCAAAAATAGAATATTCCATTGGTTGTTATACCTGTGATCCCTCCAAACTAGAGATTGTTTCCTAACAACCATACACCATCAGAAGTCGTGAAATAGGCTTGTACCCCGGAGCTTATCACCAATTTTATTAGGGTTCTCTCAAAACTTTTGTATTTTAGCACGTGACTACAATCAAGAGCACCAGCGACAGCCTTAATTGTTCGAGTTCTACATGGCCTTGTTTTCGATACTTGCAATTATACAGGAAAATGAGTGAATAATGCTTTGAAAGTGTGGCAAGTTTGAAATTGTTTTTATATAAACCTAAATAAATCAAAAGTATAAACTGCAATTAATAAGATTTTTCTAGACCAATTTTTGGCAAATTATGTAAAAATGGATGGAGGCAGTTTAATGCAGGATGCAGTT